CTGCAAAGAGAAAGCGTCCTCAAATTTTCATTTTAACCCTTTGGAGACAGAGCCTTTTTTGGGCTGTCTGTGCCAAAAAGACGGAGCACTTTTTACGAACTCGGCACTCACATTGGAAAAAATTTATAAAAAATAAACTATTCATTTTACATGCATAAAACTATATATATTCTTGTAGAAAATTGAATAAGCTAATACAATATTTATAAATCAAACGGAAATTTCAACATTTATGCAATAGATCCTAACACATGTGTTTTGGGAAATAAGGCCCATGGAGGCCCTTCAGACACCCTTGGCATAGAGTTCTACTCCTTTTCCTGTCCCCCAGGGTACTTTTCGGTTGCTACAGACAGAGCAGTCCTTTTCATCATTGTGCATCCAATTATGGTTTATTTGAGCTGGGTGTTACTGAGAAAGTTGACTGCACACTAATTAGTTATTATTATTCTCTCTCACAAACATTTTAATGATATTTTGTGTAAAAATTAGCATTAAGTAGGGCCTACTCAACTGGGGTGCTTAACCCATGATGCATATTTATAGGCTCTATTTGTTCTAAAAATTCATAAACCAAGGATTCACTACATCATCGTAAACATAATCATTTTGATTGTCTTCATTACTTCCCTGGTTGTTTTCATCAGTGTCAGATTCACTGCTAGACAGCTATAAATCAGAATCATTAAGCACAATTTGATCACAGTCGCTGTCAGACATGTTCGAATTTCACGATATAACTATACATACACACAAAAATTCCTGCACACAAATAAATTTAGTTCAACATCAACGAACGCTGCCATTACAATGCCGGGATGTGCAGGAATACATAAGAATAATTTTTATTCGCTGGTATAGCGCCAAGCCACCCAATTGTGATGCTCGATTTATCGGGCCGATGGTTCGGACTTTTGTCTTTCTCGCTAGTCAACCTTGGGCCGATTAATTGGCCCTTACGTCTCCAGAGGGTTAAACATAGATCATTTATTATTGAAGTCTTAATTTAAAAATAATAAATTATAATTCAATAAAAATTAACAAGTGGTTATCAGTTTCAAAACTGATCAAAATATTTTTGAAATATCAAGAATATAAAAAACAATTATATAGGGAAATCAGACATTTACATTAGGTAATTATATTTTGTATCTCTCAATAGAAATTTACTTGAGAAGCCTACTAACCTTTCTCTTTCTGTGCCCCAAAACAATGTAATTCACTCCCATTACACATCCGCAATATAATGAACATCACAGCCTTCAAAACTGCCTTAAGGACCCATCTATTTAAACTCTACTGTACCAACTCATTCTCTCCCCCTACTGACTGATAAACATCACTCTATTCTGCTGGGTGCTGTCCATGGCTAGAAAGGGGTTGATAGTACTTAGGGGGGGGGGTACCTCTTAAAAATAGTAATTAGTTGGATGTGAGTGGTTTTTGTAAAGCTTTTCACCAATTGTTTTTAAATTTAAATTTATAAGTTTCTGTATTTGCTAATTTATATGTAACACGCAGTGAGCCTAGCCCTAGGCTAGGGTATTGTGCCATATAAAACCTCCTTAATAATAATAATGATACAAATAATAACCTCAAATCAGCTTCTTCATGATTATTTTATAAAATTAATATATACGTTATGTCTATAAAGAAGATGAACAGCATGTTCATGCTTTATTCAGTTACATAATCCTTTGCATTACATTTATATTTTAAAAATGCTTTAAAATTTTGGTGAGCATAAATACTTACTAATCCATATCAGTATTTCAACAAAATGAATTAGCCTATGAATTTAAATTTTAATAGGGTAAATATGGGACTTTAAAGAGTACAGAATGGAAACTAGTCCATGGAGATGTGTTCAGGCCACCTCGGTTCTCAAATCTTCTTACTTCTATGATTGGGGCCGGCATTCAAATTTTTTTCATGACACTTATTACTATTTGTGAGTTGTTTTTTTTCTAAATTATATAATTAACTCAACTCATATCACTTGAATATGTCTTTTTTTTAGATTTCTTTAGAATAAAATGTTACTTCCATGCAATTATAAAATATGAATAATAATAATTCTGGTTCACTTTCAGTGAATAATTTTAATTTTTAATTACTTTTTAAAGAATAAATAAATTTCCTGATTTATATTATAATAAATTTGCTTTTTTTTAATGACTTTGTGTTTTATCTTTTATAAACACTAAATGGAATATATTATGCTTGTCTAGTCTTTGCTATGTTGGGCATGTTGTCACCATTAACTCCAGGCTCTTTGGTGACAGTAGGGATATTCCTGTACATGTTTATGGGGTAAGTGAACAATAAATCATATACCAATCTTGAATATTGTTATTTATATGATCTGCAAATACTCTGCAGCTGGACAAGTGAAAATATTTCTTATTTTAAAGTGAAACGTTTCTACTACTAACTTTGCATTTTTTGGGTACATTGATGCTCCATTATATTATATTTGCTTTAGTTTTTTTGCTGGGTATTTTTCTGCTTGACCCTATAAAACTATGGAAGGCTTACAGTGGAGAAAACCAGCTTTTCAGGTTGGTATAAATATATCATAACGTTTAGAGGTTAGTGCAATGCATCAAAGGAAGCTTTTCTTTTCTATCCTAATTTAATTATACTTATTACCAGCTTTCTGATTTCAGTTGGACATCACAGAGTTTATTCTAACTCTGGTGTACTTTGACGAGTCTCTCAAAATCTAGCCTTTATTATCATTAATGATATCCTTCTTAAAATAAAAATTAATAATTGGTGCTGTTAATTTTTCTTTGGGGCTATCCATAAATGACGTCATGCGTGACGAGGGGTGGGAGCTTAAACAATGTGACTTCACATGAAAAGCAGAATATTTTATTAAAGAATTGCAGTTAATAACCTGAAATTACAGACATTTTTAACATAATTCTTTTATACAAATACAAAAATTATTTTAAAACTACGATCACTGAGACTGAGAGAATCAGTACAGGCGTGGGATGTCAGAAAAATGGCCTCTGATTAAGTACAGGACGCCACGGAGGAGGAGAATTGGGATGTAGTTACAATGCTAGTCGAGATAATTAATAATTGTCTAAATGTGGAGACAGGAGTCATAGAATTAGGACTTCCACAAGATGAAGTGGGATGGAATGAAAGAAATGGTTGTTGTGGTGGTGGTGGGGGGATCTTAGTAAATGCTCAAGAGCAGGGATTCTTAACCTTTCTGCAGCGCTGCAGGCCCACACGGTTTTAAACATACCCCCCCCCCCCATTCCAACCGTATAAATAATTTTAATAAAATTATAAAAATAATTTAGTTATACTTTTTTTTATCTTTAATTAGCTTTTTATATACGGGTACAAGGAGAAAATTTAAAAGTTAAAGCAGCAACAACTAGCAATGGGAGCAAATAAAATGTTCTGATCTTCCACACCTCCGGCCTGGGGATGTACTTGTAGCTCTGGTTAAGAACCATTGCTCTGGTGAAATGTTTCTGAGACACTGGTGCAGTCATTTGATATCCAAGGGAGGTGAATTTCTGAAGGGTTTGCAAAGGGCAGAAGAGGCCACAGGGAATTTTAGGGGAGGGGGGAGGGGTGTTAAAAAATCAGCTAAATTTGTGTGACTCATTTATGGATGGCTCTTTCCTCCACCTAATATTACTAATACGTCACTAATAATTAATAGTAATTAACTATGCATGGAGATGTCAGAGATATACTGGTCCAGTACATCATTACTATACATTCTGTCATTACAAGAACACAATTCAGAATCAAAACAATGGCATACCCCATCTCTCTTCCCCGGCAATGGAGAAAAAGGGTGGGGGCTCATAAATTATATTAACAGCTTACGTCATCCTCTTCATATTAGAAGGGGGGGGGGGGTTGACCATGAGGATTAAGAGTCACAACAATCAACATCACCAATGGTATTTTTTCTTTAGTACCGAGGGACCCTGTATCAAATTGCTAATTAAAAGTATGTTTAATTTATGAACCAGTCCCAATAAATTTTCCAATTCTTATCAATTGCCGTATAGAAATCCACAATGAATGAATGTGATGAGGTATTTTCTATATATTAATATTATATATAAATTCTGGACATCCCCCCCCCCCCAGTACCAGTAATATATTGTCTATACCCGGTACTTTTAATTTTAAATACCGGTACATGTATGTACCTAATGTCATTATTTGTGATCACTATATTAAAATTAAACTCAAACATTCCGTGTATTGATACCGTATAAAGGCCTATATGACAAAATTTAAATCTTTCGTTAAAGTTCAATGATGGCATAACTTTTTAATGATTGTCTCTATGTTACCGGTACCAGTAATCTATTTAGTTAATTTAGTATATAAATGCTTTTGACATTTATCACCCTAAAGTTCAAATGTTTTTAACCTGGATGCTGTGGCACTGGGCTGCCCCCAACAACCCCTTAGGGTTACTGAAGTGACTGCTGCTATTGCATTTTAGTTTTAGAGTGCAAGCTTCCCTGATCCTCTACCATAAAGGCATTGAATATCCCTACTCTACAGTACCTTACCATGCTAAAAAATTAGGAACCCAAGACTAAGACACACGGATTTTGATTTCCTAAATAAAACACAATAGCCTACATAACAGAATCTATTTTATCTGCCAAAGCCACACCTCAAATATGCTTGGTGTATGTGACTCACGTGAGGAAATGCAACCCTCTAGTCTCTGGACCCTTCTGACTCAGGTGCAACACCACTGTTGACAAACAGAGATGTGTTGCCTGCAATCTGCCTTATTGCAGAAAGAATAATTTTAATCATGTCTGCATTTTGAGGTCATCTCTAGTGCATACCATTGCAAATAATGAAAATGATTGGGTACCTGAGGTCAGCAAATCCTCTACAGATTTTCTTTGTAAAATTCTGTACTGGTTTCAACTGGTTTTTTAAAATTGGTATTCAAAATTATTGTTTGTAAAATATATTTATTTCTTTGGGTCAGAGGAACATATTTTGAGATATGCCTATACTAATTACTATAAATTATAAAACAAAAAAAACACCAAGACAGGGAAACATTCAACCACAAAACATTTGAAATATAAAGACAAATTAAATAACACTGGACTGCAAAGAAACAACAGGCAAATATATATTACATTAATTAACTGTTCAGTTTATTTGAAATTCCTTATTACGCAGCATCTGCAATGGTTACTTCAACTTCCACTCCAGGCTCAATGCTGATTGAAGTCTGAAGTTATAAATTAAGGAAAGCTATTGATCATAATTAACATGCTGTTTGATAGGCCTTTTTACTTTCTTAACCAATAACTTCCCATTGGCTTGACCACAAAACATTTATATTATCCCAACGTAAGGGGAATAACTCTAAACTACAAATTTAGTTCTTTTACAAAAATGAACGCATCTCGCTAATTTAAAATCCAATTGATGTGAAAAAAATTGCATTATGTAGAGAAATGAATAATCTATCAGATGACACCAAATATGTAGGGGTGTACTAAAAATTTACATACAAAAAAAAATTAAAATGTTAGAAAATATGCAAAAAATTCAATTTGTCACGACAATTTCTGTACATTTATTGATAAATAAATACCTTAGTTTAACTTAGCATGGAACTGAGCAAAACATAGCTCATCACAAAGGTGTGTGTTACACAACACACACCCAAAAACAGTTTCAGGTCTTTTATTCGATTCAGTGCGAACGTTTTTCTGCCGACACTGAAAACATTGTTTTTTGCGCCCTGGGAGTCGAATTCTACGATGCTCCAAAGAAGTTCCAGGAACAGCCAATCCACCAACAGCAGGGACCTCCGCCTGTCTTCTTTTCCTTGAAGAACCCTTCATGAGGCTGCGAGCAATGTCCAAATGGAAATTTAAATGCGACACTGGCTTTGATGTCGGGGGATGTGGCATATTTTTGTATAAAATATACGCATTCAGGGCTGCCGTCTCAACCAAAAACCACAAACAACATCTCCACCATTTGTGGCTTTTTCGGCCAATAGGATAATATGATCTTAGCTGATCATGTCTGTCCACCCCACCCATATTAGCATTGTAGATAAGTACAGACTGGGGGATCTGTTTATCAATAGGGCCGTCTTTTGTACGGCGTGATGCAGTGCCTAATGTAGGCGACGCGTTGGTTGAAATCATGGAGATGGCACGTTTGTCTCTCCACCAACATGCAACCAGACTCCCTATCTGCCTCATTTCACAGTGGTTCTTGTTGATTTTACCTTTGAGGTCCTTGGGCCAGTGTCTCCTGTTTTGTCGAGTTGTCGCACATGAATAGGTGCCACTTGATAACAAATCCGATGCCAACTGCACCGACGAAAAAAAATTGTCAAAATAAAAATGATGATTTTTATTTAGGTATCTGTTGCCTAATTTTTGTATGACATTATAGCCCAGTCCATTGGGCATAATGGTGTCGGATTTCCCTGTATAAAAATCAAAGTCTAAAAGGAATGATGTCGCCGAGTCACAGCAGCACCATACTTTGACACCCCATGGGTGGGGCTTTCCTTTTATATATTGTTTGAAAGACAGTCTGCCTCTAAAAGGTATCATAGCTTCGTCAAAAGCTATAGCAGCTCCAGGTCTGTATAATGTATTACAGGCATCTTTTACAGCTGTGATGACTGGTCTGATTTTATACAAGGGATCGTACCCATCTTGGCCTTTCGGGATATAATTCCTGCTGTCAGCCAGGTGAAAGTATCGAGATATTTCTTGATACCTATTTCTTGACATCACATCTGCCACACTGGATACTTTTAACAGAGGATCTGTTGACCAGTACATAGTGTATGCTGGTAGTTTGTGCACACCAAACATCATATTGATATATATGAATGTTTGAATGTCACTGACAGTGACAGGAGTGAAATTGTTAGCATTCCTGTAGGCAGCATACAAATTGGTCTGGTCAGAAATCATTTGTATAATTTCATCAGGAAAAAATAATTTAAAAAATTCCACTGGCTGAGCCTGATGATCAATATTCATGTTTACAATATTAGGCCCAACACCTGATGTAAACATCTCAATTTCCACTGGATTGAGCGTAGCACTCCAAGGAAAAGACTGAGTAGTAGTAGTAGTAGTAACTTCACTATCGACACTATCGTCGTCGGAGCTCTCACTGTCAGTATCAAGATTGCTACCACTATCAAAAACACTTTCATCAGGAGTTTCGCCAAATCCATTTTCAATGTCACTTTCATTGGAATCACTATCGCTATCGCTTTCATTACAATTATTGGAAACCAAACTTTCTAAAAATCGGAAAGCCATGCTTCAAATTCAATGATTTTCAAAAATCCGTAGCTCGCGTGTCTCTCAATGTAATTCGTTTCCGTAAAAAGGAAAAGGAAGTAGATCTTTTCTACTTTCATACTATAGCTGGTTTATTATTTTATACCAACGTTTTCTGGTCCAATACATCGTTTATTTGGCATGTATATATAGCCGGGGATGGCGGGCGATACGGTATAAAACGCTAGCGGGCGATGGCGGGGGATACGGGAAGTTACTGGTTAATCCTATTTATGACCCTTGCGTAAGAATAACTTTAAAAGTTCAAAAGTAATGTTCAAGTTAAAGGGAATACTTTTAAATAATTAAGTCTAAATTAAATTTAAATACTTAAATAATACCGCTAATACAAATTAAAATATATAAATCAGATAATATCTCAAAGAAAGGATACAATCTGCTTAACAATTTCAGATGGGCTGTGCAAGTCAATAATGCGTTTGTGAATTCTCATCTGGTACCTGTCCCAGGTCTTGGAGCCCTCACCACAAGGAGTTTTGCGGGTGGTAATGCGCAAAATTTTGGTGGGCATGCGAACTGGCCCTTTGACTTTCAGATTCTTTTCTTTGGCTCCTTTGATAAGATCAGCACATACTGTAATGATAAACATAAATTGAATGATGAAAAGAAAACAATTGCAACCAATGCCAAATTTCTAGGCCTGCAAATGGGGAGGCAGGCTTAGCATTGCAGTCGTGGAAGTAATTTGTATGGTTTTAAGCAACATTACAAGTACATGGATTCAAGTTTGACCGGTATCAAGAATCATCAAACACATAACCCAACCATAACCCTCTATAAAAATAATAAGCTAGTTAGCTTTGTTAAGTGCTGCCTCCTTGTAACAACATGTCAAGTCATGAGATCAGCTGGTTTAATGTTGAAATGTGTTGATGAAATTGCAGCCAAGTTTAAATTAAATGAATATTGGGCCAGGATAAACATTTCTCTTCTCTGTGAACTAGTACCGGTGCCAAAAGATTTAAAATTAGAAATACAGTAAAAATCTCCCGTTTTACTACCTTTAAATTGCCATTAAAACGAGGTCTTAAAAAAAGAGGTAGGAACATTTTGAAAATTAAGTAAACTATTAAAATTAATACAAAAAAGTACACATACCATTAAGTATAGGCAATATCTAACATCTTTCTTAACATATACTAAACTCTGTCTCTCAACCAATAGTAACTATCTACTGTTCCTCATTAATTCCTAAATAAAAATAATTTCTGGTACCGGTATGGTTCTAATGGTAGTTGTTTAAAAGCGTGTGTAAGTGCTGAGGGCATGCTTAGTTATATTTATAAGATAAGCGCATTAATATTGTTGTAATTATTTTTATTCAATCATTTAAAAGTTATTTTAATATGGTGTCGGCAAGGTCTGAAAGGCCCTGCTCAGGCCAAATCTGTTAAGCTCCTTGGAGTTATTTCCCCTTCACTACTTCCTAGTTACTTTAGTGCATCGTCTGTTAAGTTTTAAATGAAACTGCTTTCTTCAAGCGCACAAATATAGCATTGCTATGGAATCTGACTTTGTCAGATGCTAGGACCTAAAATTCAGTTAATAGAAGTCGCGATTTAGAGGAAGTCATTTAAGAGAGGTCGTTTATTTATGTACAAAGCATTGGTAAATTTTTTCCAGGTCGCACGCTGGAAGTTGTTTAAGAAAGGGTCTCAAAACGGAGATTTTACTGTATTTGCAGCATACCCTTTTCCAAACTTTTCACTACTCTGCTAGTTAGAGTGATGCGGATACGGTGGATGGGAGCTTCATCCCCTGCTGTTTTCAAAGAGCTATCTTTTGTATAGTTTTGATCTTTCAAAGTTGAAGTCTGAAATTCAGAAAAAAAGATTTAATAATTAAAGTTAGTTGTTAAATAGTATAATTATAATACTTTTAAAAGCTTAGGACTCCCCAAGTGACGATTTGTGTAGCCATCTTCTTGAAAATGGATCCCCATCCTTCTGTTTTCAAATAATGATAAGGGGCTTGCCCAAATGTTAAGATAAATTACTAATTATTTAGGCTATAATTGCATAACATTAAAATTAATACACCATCGATTCTGAAAATAAAAGTTGTATAAAGGCTACATGCGTCCGGCGACCAAGCCACATGACCGCCGTAACAAAGTGGTGAGAGATATTTGTCCGTCTGCCTTGTCACATGACCGCGAATGATTCAAAACTATTGTTAATTTTAAAATCTATTTCTCTACCAAGTAATGTACTGAGTATCTTGCAAACAAAAAATTGAAAAAATTCTTGGGTATATTACCAAAACAAAGTGGGGGTTAAGTAATGATGCATTCTAGAAGGAAGCAATGCTGAGAGGGAGAGAATTACGGTAATAAAAATTACGAATGGAGGGTGATAAAGAATTAAGTTTAATGGCGGGGAGGCCGATAGTTTACAAAGAAATAGACCCTACATCTTAATATAGGCTGATATAGTGGCAGCCTAGCCTACTTAGGCTCATACAATACTAAATACTAATCCTGAAATACAACAGAATGTGGAGGTGAAGTCCATAGTAAAAAATACCAACGAACAATGTTTCTTATAAGCTGCGTGACTGTGCACAGTTATGCAAAGAATTTGGTTTAATTAATTATTCATGTGCCAAAGTTGAAAGTTTAAGTCGACCCTAAACAGTATTTTAGTGATAAGGAATGCGTTGCCTTATATAAACTATATAGTCATTGCGCATGACGTGATCAGCGGAATGAGGCCACAGAATGTGGAGATGCAGTCCATGTTAAAAAAGGACAAACCAAGTCGTACTTTAAAAATTAATAACTTTAAAACTACAACAGCTAAAATTATGATTTTGGTGTTATAATTCTGTAAAAAAATTAGCATCTATATGTATATAGGTACTTGGATATGAGGCTATTTTTACCCCTAGGATTTTGAGACTCTTTTTTTGGTGTGCTGGATGATAGGGTTCACTAAAAAATTATTTTTTTCGCGCTAGAAATGTCGGATCAACGAACGAATTACTGTTCTAGTTACGTTAATGAACGGGCTTTAGCGACATCCATTTTGTTTTCAGTATTATCAGTATGTCGTGAATAAAAAAAAATGTGAGAAAGCAGCTTAAGTCTAATTTATCAATATTTTGAAAACTATTCGTTGTCCCATTTTAAATCGACCTGGTGTACCTGTAGAATTGTATCAAAAATGACCATGTAAAATTTCAAGTCTCTAAGATGGCCATAACAATGTTATTTTTTACCAGAACGGGTCTAAATCTTGAAGAAAAAAAAATGGCCGAAAACGAAAGTGACAAACCGGAAACAGTATTATTGAACAATAGTTGACAGATAAGAAAGCCCAAGAAATTTTATAATGCTTCAAGCAAGTTCCATCTTGAATAATATTAGGTTTTATTGTAATATCTATACAATAATAGACATATAAACTAATATTTTATCAGATATTGCTCCATTTCAAATTAAAGCATGTCTACATGTCCCGCGCCGGACGTATATCTCCCGCACTATTTGTCCGGCGACCATGTCACAAAGTGGCGAGAGATATCTTGTCGGTCAGCCTTGTCACGTGACTGCGAATAATTCAAAACTATTGTTAATTTTAAAATCTATTTCTCTACCAAGTAATGTACTGAGTATCGTGAATGCAAATAATAGAAAAAAACTTAAGTGAAAGTGGCTTGTAAACATTTTTGTTTAGTTTGTTATTTGAGTTTGTGTACCAGTAATCCATAAAATAAATTAGGGGCCAGTAAGGAGTAGGCAACCAATAAAAGGAAAAGATTTCATTTTAAATTGTTTAAATTGCTACAAAATATTTAAAAACATCTCATGTAACTACTGTTGCTGATGAACATGATAATATAAATATAGTATAAAATATGTTTAATTAAAATGGGAAAAAATAAATTATTCTATATCCAGTATTGATCCTCAAATCACAATAACGTCAAGCGACCACTCTACCACACAAGATCTACCAATTTACACTTCGTTCGGAATAATAACAACTACTAGCCGTCCAGCGGTCACGTGACAAGCCGCCGGACGTATATCTCGCGCACTATTTTACCGGCGCGCCGGACGTGTAGACCCTTCGTAATTTTTATTGGAAAATTGCCTGTTATATTTCCTGTTTTAAAATAAATTACGTTTGGTCTTAATTTTTTTTAAAGTTTCTTTTTAATGACATTAAAAAATATTTTAAAAATATTCTATTAATTTTATTTTAGTTTTTAAAGCAACAAAGATGTTGATAATATGATGATGAACACTTCTGGAAAGTTTCATATTATTTGTCCACTCTGCTATAAAATTATGAGCCATTTCGTTAAAACAATTTGAAAAGAGGTCACAAATCTCTATGTAAAAAAAGTGATTTTTTATTCACAAAAAAAATATCTTTTTAACCGAAAGTGCTACATGAAAAATGAAAACATATTATTACTTCATATAACAAGGGCTATCATACAGATGTGTTCATTTCTTAATTTATTCAATTTGAAAATTTTATCCAAGTACCTAAGACTATAAGCTTTACAACAACACCAATTTCATCTTTCTATCTTTTATAGAAGTGGAGTTATGATTTTTTTGGTGATTTTTTTAAAACAAGGGCAAGAAGGGCTATCATTGTATAGATACTTCGGTAAACCAAGGGAGGCTACTACTTTTTGTGTATCGGAAATGGCAATCGGCGCCGAAAAATCTGAGTTTTTAATTTTCCGATGTGTGTGTCTATTTATTATTAAATGAGTGCTTTCTATATATATTTGAGTTCCGTTTCCGGCCTTATAATTAGGTAGACATGTTGGCCTACATTTACATTGCTTTTTTTTTTAATTTTTCAATCGACCTGTATTTTGAGATTCCCCTGTAAATGTAAGGCATCTTTCACTATAAAATTCGTATAGAAGTTCAACTTTTATGTCTTTAAAAAAAAAGTCTTATTCTGTATTATCTATCGATGTGTATTTGTGTCAATTCTCATTGAGTTAGGACATGTCGATCACTTGTTATGCTCACTTGAGTGAACCCCTATATGGTAATGTAGCTCAGCCCAATTTCGATAAGGAAGTGGCCACGCCCCCTTTCAGTGGCGGAAGACGCCGTTACTTAGGAAATATTTAATTATTTCCACTATTTACATCAAACCCGGTAGAGTCCATATTATACATGATCAAAATTCGCCGTGTGCAAAATGTCATGGCAGCCATTCACAGTGACTTGCATAAGGGCTATTATTTACTACTATCTCAGAGATTTCATTCATAAAAGTTTGCCGTGTGCAAAAACTATTCAACTAGGTCAGGGAAAGCTTGAATTAATTAGTCATGTAACAAAGTTGAAAGTTCAATAGTTCCCAAACAGTATTTTCGTAATTAGGGCATGAGTTGCCTTATATTATATAGACTATATAGCAAATATTGGTATAATGGACCTCGTAGATTTGGTAAACAGAAAAGCCATATATTAATACATTATATTAAATTTACTGATAGAAATAATGCAGTTAGATAAGCTACAATCAATAGGTACTTCGGTAAGTCAAGGGAGACTACTACTTTTTGTGTATGGGATTTCGCAATCGGCGCCAAAAAATCAGAGTTTTTAATTTTCCGATGTGTGTGTCTATTTATTATTAAATTAGTACTTTCGATATGTATTTGAGTTCCGTTTTCGGCCTTATAATTAGGTAGACATCTTGGCCTACATTTTAATCAATTTCTTTTTCATTTACAATCAGTCAGCTTTGAGAAAATCCTTGGTAAATATAAGGCAACTTTCATCATTAAAATTAAGTCGAAGGAAAAAATTTGTCACTACCAAATTTTTTTTGCATCTGGGGAATCTATTGATCTACATGTATGCCAATTTTCACAGCGATAAGTGTCTTACGAGAGACGCTATGTTTCTGCGCGTTCGCAGCAGGTCATGCAGCTCGCTCAACCTAATTTCGTCATGGGGTGGGCCACGCCCCCTTTGTAATGGCGGAAGTTGCCGATACTTAGGAAATATTAATTTATTACCACTATCTACATCAAAATAATTGATAACTTGTGTTTCAGAATGCATTTTGAAGACATTTAAACTGGAATGTTTTAATTTGAGCTTTAACAACCCGGTAGAATCCATATTATAAATGATCAAAATTTACCGTGTGCAACACGTTGTCATTGGCAAACATTCACAGCCACTTGCATAACGGCTGTATCGTAGTACTACCTCAGAGTTTCATTCATAAGAGTTTGCCGTGTGCAAAAACTACTATACCATTGGTCAGGGAAAGCTTTAATTAATTATTCATGTGCCAAAGTTGAAAGTTTAAACTAAGTCGACCCTAAACAGTATTTTAGTGATAAGGCGATGCGTTGCCTTATATAAAGTATATAGTCATTGCGCATGACGCGATCAGCGGAATGAGGTCACAAGATGTGGAGGTTTCGTCCATAGTAAAAAATACCAAACGAACTCACACTTTAAAAATTCATAGCTCAAAAAGTACTTAAGCTAAAAAGTTGATTCTGGTTTCATTTTTCGAAGTGTCTACACGTCCGGCGCGCCGGACGTGTAGTGCACAAGATACACATCCGGCGACTTGTCACGTGCGGACGGCTAGTAGTTTTTATAATTCCAAACGAAGTATGATTTAGTACATCTTGTCTGGTCTTGTGGTAGAGTGGTTGCTTGACGATAGGAAGGTTTGAGGATCTATACCGGGGATAGGGTCGTTTTTTTTCTTCCCTATTTAATTAAAATATTTTGTATATATTTATATTATCATGTTCCTCAGCAACAATAGTTTCATGAGAAGTTTTTAAATATTTTGTAGCAATTGAAATAATTTAAAATGAAATCTTTAACTTTTATTGGTTGCCACACTGGTCCCTAATTTATTTTATGGATTACTGGTACACAAAAAATAAACTAAACAAAAATGTTTACAAGCCACTTTCACTTAAGTTTCTTTTTACTCAGTACATTACTTGGTAGAGAAATAGATTTTAAAATTAACAATAGTTTTGAATTATTCGCAGTCAAGTGACAAGGCTGACCGACAAGATATCTCTCGCCGCTTTGTTACGGCGGTCATGTGACTTGGTCGCCGGACACATAGTGCGGGAGATAGACGTCCGGCGCGCCAGACGTGTAGACACTGCCTTCATTTTTTTATTTGAAATTAGCTCTAACTAACTGTGCTATTAAAAAAATTATTTAAATTTTGTATCCAAGTGCCTAGCTACAATTTATCTATAATTGTTAACATTATTAAACTTATTTTTTTAATACAGCATTAATACAGCATTAGTTCTGAAAATAATATTATCATTAAAACAAGAGTTATATAGCTCGTGACGCGAACAGCGGAATTGGGTCACAGATTGTGGAGATGCGGTCCATGTTAAAAAAGGACAAATTAAGTCGTAATTTAAAAATTCATAACTTTAAAACTCAACAGCTAAAAATATGATTTTGGTGTTATAATTCTTTTAAAAATTAGCTCTATTCAACTATGTCATTGGTTTATTTTTTTTTTTTTTTTTCAAAGTATCTACTCATTTTATCATACAGATCTCAGATGGCCTAAAAAATATGATTTTGGTGTTATAATTCTTTTAAAAATTAGCTCTATTCAACTATGTCATTGGTTTATTTTTTTTTTTTTTTTCAAAGTATCTACTCATTGTATCATACAGATCTCAGATGGCCTCAGATGTGTTCATTTCATAATTCATTCAATTTGAAAATTTTATCCAAGTACCTTAGGAGCCAAAACGATCAATAAATTGATCGTGGGCCCTTAAGATATAGAAGAAGAAGAATTACCATTTTTGTCTTGATCTAGCCGACGTATTCAAAGTAAATGTATTAATTCTTTGAACAGCGGTGAGCCAGCGACTTATTCCCAACACACGAGGGGTGAAAAAGGAACCTTTAAAGCCGTATTTCCGGTACCAAGAAGATTTGAATGGTCCATAAAATTTTAGTCCAATTTTTTTAATTTTTTTATTTTAAATGTTGATGGCTTTTTGGGAGGGGGGGGGCGCTGAAAATATGAAAATAAAGCAAACAAAGGCGTTCTGAATGTGCTCATACTACGTCTCATAGGCATCACTTAAATTTAAAAAAGAGCGGGAGAGGGTAGTCAAACTCGGCTGTTGGACAAATAATTTATATTATAGGCCAACTTTTTAAATAAACGTTTATACTTAAAACTTAGTTTACCTGTATTTGAATGATTAAATCTTGCCTAATCTTGTGTCCTTATAAATTATATGGTAAATGTTAAGCATTTCAAAATAGATAGGTTTCTCAAGTTTGATGGGGCTCAATTTTAGTTACTGCCGTGGGCGCCTTTATGCACTCTGCCTGCATGCGAAGACCAGGGTACCAAAAAAAAAAAAGTGCAAATTTTGAGCTGCTGTTCGCTGATGATGCCGCCTTAACATCGTACACAGAAGAAGGTCATCACCGCTACCACGCATTTTAAGATTTTGGACTGACCATTAGTCTAAAGAAAACAAATATCATGAAGCAAGAAACACAGTTCTCTCCAAACATAGGCCAACTACTGTCAGTAGATGAGAATTTCAGCACCAACGACTATGTCCAAATTGAATAAGCGGGTGTGGAATGATCTTAAACTAATTGAAAGTATAAAACTAAGCGTCTAGTAGTCATGTGTGCTCAGTACACTCACATATGGCAACTAAGCGTCTAGTAGTCATGTGTGCTCAGTACACTCACATATGGCAACTAAGCGTCTAGTAGTCATGTGTGCTCAGTACACTCACATATGGCAACTAAGCGTCTAGTAGTCATGTGTGCTCAGTACACTCATATATGGCAGAGAAGTGCGGATCACATAATATGCGAATCATGAGCGGAAACCAAAAAGCTACTACCAAATATGTCTGTGTCGCATTTTGCGAATTCGATGGCAGGAAAAAGTACATAAGACAGAGGTTTTGGAACGCTTCAAAATGTTATAATGCTCAGTTCACGCGATCAATTTTTCGTCAAATATTTTTAATTAACGCACTATTTTACATTAACACACAAAAATAGTGCGTTCATTAAAAAATGTGACCGTGTTAATTGAGCATTAGAAAGAGGCGTCTTTAGCTTTTTAGGCCATATAAGGAGAAGGGAGAACTGCCGTATTCCAAGGAATATGTATGGAGAGTTGACAGAAGGGACAAGACTTTTTGGACGGCCGGAATTTAAGGACGTTTGCAAATGGAACATGAGAGAAGCCAACATAGATATCAACGAACAGGAGGAGATCATAGCTGAGCACTGTTCCAGCTGGAGAACAACGGTGTGTGAGGGAGTCAAACAGGCAGATGATGAGCGAAACAAAGCCCTTTCAACAAAAAGAGCATTACGGAAGGCTAACTTTCACCAGGAGTCAAGGTCCTCCTTCGAGAAGAGCAGCTGAGACTGTCATTCCAGGTTCGGCCTTTTAAGCCATTTGATGAAGTGTCAAAAGCTATGCCATCGAATCGAGAAGATTAAGGATGCCATAGTGGCGTAGCTGGGGGGGGGTGCAACGGGAGACACCAGCCCAAAGGGGGGGGGGGACACCAAATTGAAAAATTGTATATTTAGAGAGCACATACTGCTTGGTATAACCGAATTTCATGAAAGGAAAACTGATCACACGTACATTTTCCACGCATGTAACCAATCCAAATGCGTGCTTTCTTAAAAGTTCAAGGTTGATGCGTCAGAAATGGGGTGACCTTATAATTAGGTCAGAAAAATTCCGTTTTGACCATGTTTTATCGCCGATTGAAGTGTTCAGTAACTTTCGTAAATGACAGGAATCTATGTTTATCTAACATCTGAGAAATAAAGCTTCCCATTGATATTAAAATATGATGTGGCCGGGCGGTGCTAAGTATATAAATTGAATTAGTAAAAACATTAAAAAATGACTTTTTACCCATGTATAGGGTTAACAAAATGATATTTTACAAAATTTTCTAATCTATTTTAATATTTAATTTTAAAAAAAAAAATATATATATATATATATGCCAGAAATTAAAATTAAAATTTTCGCCGATTTGTCGCAAGCACCGCGCCTTAACATTTGTGCACGATTTTCATACAGCACAATCACAATGTCTTTTACACATTGTCTGTGATTTCACGTTTATCTGCTACCTTTAACTTTGGCCTGATTTACTTGAATAAGATAATCATACACATCAGTATCTGCAGACGAAAGGCTTTACTTTTGACAAAGTAGTGACCAACCCAGATTGTTTCTGCCCGAGAAGAGCTGTCACTATTGTTAAGGCACTTTTAAAATCAGGCCAATATGGAATTTCAGTAGAGAGAAGATTAAGTTTTTAGAAGAGAATGCAGGAGAAAAAATAAAAGATGCCAGACTCTCTTTGCGAGAAGGAAACAGTAGGGAGATGCTGAAGTGTATTGATGGCTTTTATTTTGAACTCCAGATCAGATGATCAGCGATCAAAGTAGCAGTTATGTTTGAGGCTGTTCAACCCCAGAGTCTACTATCAGTAAGTGAAGAAGAGTTATTGGTGTCCGTTCCAAAGTTAGTCTCTTTTTTTACGATGAGGTATCAGAAGATAACCTTTTAATAGAAATACCAAAGGCTTAGAAGATACCTAAAGGCATCTGATATTTAATTTCACAAATTCATAGACTGGTCAGTATTTGGTGTTTTGAAATTCATAGCTGAATGGGTGTTTCTAGAATCTCTTCCAATACTCTCACTAAACCTTCATTTTTTCTTGCGATCTGTGTGTCTGTGGCTTCACTTTATACATATTATACTCTGCTCATATAATGTCGAAAATGTTTTTTGTTTTTTTAAAAATTTATTTATAGGCCTACTTTAAGGAAGAAATCCCCCATAAAAATATTTCTTTTGGCGCACATTTTTTATCTTTTAACATTGGCTAGATTGCCTAGTCTAATCATGTCTAATGATCTCAATAAACCATTTTTTATTCTACCTTTGAAAGTTTATAACTCTGTTTCTAAAAATTTCACCATATTTTAAAACGTAGACTTGGCCACATTTAGAAATACCATGATGTCTAATTGATTGGGACAAAATTGCTCTTAATAAAATTCATTTATTGTTAATACAAATAGCAGAAAAACCTTTTTTACAAAAATTTCAATGTAGTAAAACTTTAATAAGACCACCCTAGCGGCGATACCACTTCGGTGGATACCGAACATGACGTCACGTATTCCACGTTTGTAACAAGATGGCGTCCTTGGTTAGTAAAAGATCCATCCTTTTTGTTGCCATTTTTTTGTGTTTTCAAATAGCGAATAACTCTAATACGGATTCCTTACCAAGAAATAACCTATTTAATTATTTGAAAATGTATGATTTTGTATGACACTGCTCAGTTTTTTATGTGGTCTAGCTGAGGCTAATAATGAGTAATTACGGTAGGTCTTCAGTCTTCTTCTACTTCAAGTTGTCTTCTTCTGACTTCTAAGACTACGCCGATCTTTTCTGACACTAAACTTGTGTCGTCCCACAAGTTAGTTGTTGATCACTGTACACTACTTTACAGTATAGGTCGATTAAACTCTCATGCAAATGACTACACTCAAGTGTCTACAATCTACTATACTATGCCTATGCCCTACCTATGACCTATGCCCCCAATTTATTTTCTATAATTTCACAAAACTTATCTTAGAATAAATGTAAAAAATCTTCTTTTTTTTGGTCTCCATCTATGATTGTTTTTTTTTCATACCACCCTCAACATTGCTAACAAATATTTAAAGTTCGAAGTGGTTATGCGCAGCCGACTGCGTATAACCCTGAGAGTTATACGCAGTCGGCAAGTCACGTGAGGTCTATATGAGTCCTGTGTTACAGTATTAGTATCGATCGATAAAGGTGCCTCCTTATCAGATTGACTGGGTGGTCGAATGGTCTAAACTGAGCAAACATCAAGTTGGTGGACTTGAGTTCAATTCCAGCCGAAGGTCAGCCATGAATATGTGTTAGTTGTTATGCTTGTTCTCGAGAATGGAGCAAAATGTAGGCTTAATGTAGGGACCTCAGTATCGACCGGAAATACCCGAAAAACGGGTATCGTATTTTCGTTGTCATTATGGCGACCTCTACTTTTTAATTTACTGAGGGTATCGTTGTTTCGCGTTTCATAATCGATATTTAGCATAATAATATAATTTTACTTCCGCCAATTACTTAAAGCCGACATCTTTCCTGTTATATTAAGAGTTCGTTTGATTTTTTGGGTCAAGATTAAAGCTTTGAAAATTGAAGTTAAAAATTGGTCAACTTCACTCAAGAATAACTTAATTTAAAAAATGCGCTCTTAAATAAAAATACTCCGCTCTTTTAGTTTATATGTTCATTTAAAACATATCCAAAATTCATGAGTGTAGACCATGGGTGGGCTTCAAAAACGAATTTCCAAGATGTCATTTTTTTAGGCTATGTAATTTGTCATCATGGCCACCGTGCTTGTCTGCTTATTTCCAATTATCGATAGCAGCCGTGGGGTAATTAATAATTCATTAAGTTGGTTATCCAGAGTGTAAATGGGAAATATAACTAATAATAAATCATTTTATATAAATAAAAAATGTTTTATAACATAAATAATTATTATTGGCTTATTGAATATCAGTGATTTTAATTTTTGGGTTGGTTGCCATGGACCTGGCTGACACTGACATGGGAATGATAAGCTCTTGTCTTTGACTTAGATAGTGATAGGCTTAGTTTAAGTATTATAATAGTATTTATACTATTATAAATGATTTAAGGAGTGGGATAAATAGCTTTTATTACAACTAATATATTTATCATTTATATTAGTTTATATATTTATAGATAAATATTTATTTGTATATATATAATATATATAATGACCATTAGGCTAGAGGCCTTGTATACATATAATATAGTATAATACAAAGTATACTATATCAGGGTTAAGGCCTAGACCCAACCCAACTAATTTGTAGGGCCTATTATAATAAATTATATTTAATGATATTTTAGGATATGTAATAAAATTTTAATGAATATTGTGATTCTTACTTAAGGCATAAACTAAGTAAAACATTTTGAAATATTCACTTACCTTTGGTATTGAAATATCCTATATTTAATCACATATCACAATATTCCACAAGAGAATTATTATATAATCCTCGGTTTCTCAAAGAAAAAACACACTTTCTGGCACTACAATCCAAGAATTACTTAAGATATTATTACAGAACAATCATAATAACCTGTACTTACCTCTAGTAAATGACTAGAACTTATTTTATTAACAGCTAAAGTCAAAGTTGATTCTAATAATACATGTGGATTTGTAAAACAAGATTACAAACTTAAAATAAATGACATGCTGATTGTTTTGTCATACTCATAGGAATAATATAATATATAGTATACATATGTAGAAAATGGTAAAATAAAAAGTGTAATTGTCAATTTTAAATAAATAAAACAAATAATCCCTTTATTATTTGTTTATGCTTATAAATGCTAAACAATTCCACAGAAAATCTGCAATTAATATCTAAAGAATATTATTATTATTATGATTGTTGGGAAATTAAAAACAAAATTAAAACAAAATTTTAATTAATTAATTACAAATAAGTGATGAGTCAGCATTTTTATACATTTTTAATAGGCAAATAATAAAGTTTTTTTTTTTAATATTTGCGGCACATTAACAAAAACTAATGTATATTTTGTGGCTTTATTTAGAAGTACTCTTATTTAACTATGTTCCCTGTAAATATTATATTTTTGTCTCATTTTATAATAAAGTTATAGGCGTTAAAAAAAAAAGCAAAATGAGGGTCACAAATGTGGAGGAAAATCCCATAGTAAAAAAGTGGTTTTGAGGTCCCTACTAAAAAATTCATAACTTTTGAACCACTTGAGCTAGAAAGTTGATCTTGGTGTTTTTGTAATCTATTCTCCAGGCTCTATACAGCTGTAGTATTTTTATATTTTTAAAAATGTTTTGAAATTTTCATCAAAGTGACTACTTATTGTTTTATTTTGTTGTGGCTAAAACATGTTGAAACATGATAAGAATTATTAACTTGACCAATGTAAGGTTAATAATGTTATTCTTAAAATGATCATATTATATGTTTGTGTTGTTAATATATATTTTGTGCTGTTAACTAATTTTGTGGCAGATAAAAACATGTTTCTCTGGTACAGTAATTATAATCATGGGTGATGAGTAGCAGAAAAATAGCTGTAGGGGCAGGGGGTTCTGTAGAGAGGGCACTGTATGTAAGTAATACTTTCAAACAGTTATAGTTTTGCATGGAAGCAGAAAACTGTTACATTTATGTCACAAAAAAAATCATAAATTATATAATTTTTAAAAATAAATAGAATATATTTCCTGAATTAGTCAGTAAAACCAACCACATGATGGTCATAGCAACATATAAAAAACTAATCAATCAGAATACAGAACTAGACTTAGACCATGGAAATGCCTTTAAAAAAATCATCTTCTCAGGCTTAGACTCTAAGAAATGTAGACTTTGACTTAGATTTATAATTATAATATATAATAATAAAATAATAATAAAGTTCATTTCAAAAACACGCTTCATCCCCAAAGGCTCGAAGCGGGGTACATAGTGAACAAAAAACAAATCTATAATTTACCACATTTAAAACAAACGCAACACTACAAAAACTAATTACAAGCATACAATGTCAAAGTCTTTCAACCCATTTCAACCGTGATACAAGCAATAATACTAATAATAGCACTAATACTAATACTATTACTATCATTCAATTTAATTAAAATTAATTCAATTAAAATTTTACGTTAAACACATTAAAGTTATAGTTCAAAACAACACACAATGCAGCTAATTACACATAATACTTTTTTTAAAAAATTGCCAAACTAGCGGTAATAAACCTTATTTGGCTAAATTCCCAGCCGACTGCGTATAACCCTGTGTATATTCTGTGTTATATAGTCCAATAATATTAACCCTATAACTGTCTAGAACAAATTTCTATAATAGTGATAAGCCATTTTTAGCTACTTCGGTAAATTATGAGAGATCTCCTCGGGGTATCCGCCATCTTGGTTGACAAAACCTGTTAATTTTGTCACTAAACCTAAACTAAATGTATCCCTATGCCTAACCTGAACCCTAAATCGATCCCCATGCCTAACCTGAAACCTAAATCGATCCCTATGCCTAACCTAACCCTAAATCAATCCCTCAACCTAACCTAAACCCTAATTCTATGCAACTATAATAAACACGCAATGACGTCATGGTCTTCCCATTAAAAATCAGCCGCAATTTCATATTCATATTCATTTGCTTGTCAAAAATGACAAAAATCCCAGACTCGGACTAAATGAATTCAGAGACTCTTACAATTATAAATTTTCTGAAAGTCAGTGAAAGTACATTGGACAAGGAATCTTATGGGATGAAAAGAATTTGTTTTTATATTATGTAGGCTTTTACAGAGTGAGTAAAATTGTAGTACTCGCTCAACTTCTGAATTCAACCCACCCTAAATACTCCATAAATTGTTCATATTATCATAATTTATGGTTACTTACCTGGAAAATTGTGATATTGGTGAATTTTTTCATTCACTGCCTTCAAATTTCTGTCATACAAAATACATGGGGGGAAGGAACAAAATGAGTTTAAAAATTCCTTTTCATTTGAAGTTATTAAATCCATTTTTATTTATTAATTTATACCTCAGAACATATACAAACATGATAATCTTAGGGGTAGATCTTTGGGATCAAATCCGTGTCTTTTTCTGTTCGATTTCCACCCTTTCCCAATCGAATGTGTCTGTAACAATACAACTAAGCTTAGGGATAAAATTGTCAATATCTCGACATCACCGCTAGAGCCTATACTGTCATTACTAACACATGGAATAGCTTTGCTTTCATTTTAATTTATTTCCAATAAAGAAATTCTGTGTTAATTTTGACATCCCAAAGGGAGGGCCCTCTCCTGCATCAGACAGTATGGCGGTGAAAAAATTTGAGAAAATTTCACACCTAATTAATCACAAAAAAAGTCCCTGATAAAAGCATGTAAACACACTGATAGTAACGGAAATAGGAAGCAAACACATTTTTATAGAGTGATTTCCCCTTAAACAGTATAATTTAAATCGATTCACATTTTTATGACAATTTGCTAATGTCAGCCGCGACACCACAGAAAGGGGTATAACGGCTGATGATTGGCTGTTATGACAGTTATAGGGTTAATTTAAATGATTGAAAGTGTTAAGATTAAATAGACCCCTATCATGCATTATGTCAGCTTGACATATCCCCCTGAATGCTAAGTCAGTACCCCTCACTTAAGCGTAAATTCAGCCCTAAATTTACACACACACACACATATCCCCCCCCCCTGCGTAGATATTCAAACCAAAAATCTATGACCTAACCCTGAAACCATGTGTTCGTGTGCTATAATAATCTCTTGACTATTAAGAAAATTATAAATTTATTAAATTATATTAAAAATCATTTTTGAAATATTTAAAATAATGAAAACCCAACTAACAGTCATCAAATACACTTTTAAACAATTTATAAATCCAAAAGTTTTAAGAAAAGTTAAAATCTACTTTACAAAATGAACAGACGATGACCCAGTCAAAGTGGATGACCCAGATTCAAATGGCCTCATTCTGATTTGAAGTATTACAATTAGACACCCTATGAAATATGTTTTTTTAAAAATCTATCAATCAAAAACATTCCATCTGCCGATTAATATAAAAAAGGAAAATAGTAAAAATCTGCCTATAAAAAAAGGGTCCCCTCATCAGAATCTTAGGAGCGAAACAGAAAGCGCACATTGTCCAAAAGTAGTAGTATCGGTATTAGGGTAATAGAATAATTTATTAGTACTATATTATTTTTATACTAACCTATATGATGTAAGTAAGGGCTTTGATATCGCTCTGGAAAACTGGATATCGGGTATCGTAATTTTGCTGTCAAAATGCCAACATCCCCTTTTTAATTTACAAATGGTAGCATTGTTAGGATTTTTTTTGCCACCATCTATTTCCACCATCAACTTAATTTATATATGTTTGTTGTTGATTTGAAACTTTTCTTTTATAAAAAATTTGATGTTTTGACACACCAACGAGGAATATTCATGTGTGGAATCAATCTATGTAAAGAATTTTCTGTGCAGAATATTTTTGGTGCGCACAATTGTAAATTTGAAATATTTTGAAATTCATAGAACCATAAAAAGTAAACCATAGTGAAGGGCCCAACTAGCCAGTAGGCCTATTATTTAACTTTCAAAGTGGCTAAAAAATATTTTTTTAACACATGTTAAAAATGGCTTTTTTATTGACCTCCAATTATAATTGAACAGCATATAGATTTTGAAAAAGCCACTGATAGTGTTGAAAGGAAACTTTGTGAAAACTATTGCATCACTATTTATGAGGGGACACTAACTGAGAGTCTTTCGAGAAAGATTCAGGATTGCGCTACGGCTTTCTATTCTCACCATTTCTCTTTCTTATAGTATTTAAGTCCTAGATCGGATAACGAGGAGGACAACAGGAAGTTGGGGCAATGGAATACAATGGACCCTTTTAAGTGACTAGAAGACCTGGATTTTGCAGATTACATAGCCTTAGTTAGTCCAAAGCCAAAACAAATACAATATACAGCTGAAAAACTTGATATAATTTCTAACATGTGTAACCAGGCAAACAAGACCCTGGAGTTCTTGAGGCATAATCTAAAGATTGGCAACACCAGTGTGAAAGAAAGAGCCTATAAAGCCTTTGTTCCGTTTTAGATTATGCATCTTCAGTCTGGGACCCATTTACCCAGAAGAGCATTGACAGGTTGGAGGCTGTCCAGCGACGGGCAGCACGCTTTGTCCTGAGCCGCTACAGGAATACCTCTAGTGTTGGCAGCATGCTGGAAACACTGGGCTGGTCACTATTGGAGGAACGACGACGCCTATCCAGGCTCTCCATATTGTATAAGATAAATAATGGGCTAGTCCACTGTTCCAGTATTAAACAGAAACTCGTCCCTCTCCCCATAGACAGCGACGAGGCCATGACAGGCAATTCCGGCTCTTACCAGCAAGAAGCCAGTATAGGAACTGCTCATTCCTGCCAAAGACAATCAGGGACTGGAACAAGCTTTCAAAAGGAACAGTTGAGGCAACAACACTAAACACATTTGCGTCTTATTGCCTCAAGCCTTTCAACCCCCCGTGCATGATTCCCTCACAAAGTAGCACATGCAATCAGTGAAATACCCTCATCATCACCAAGCACAGAAACATAGCAAATCCCCTCTGCATGCATAGGAGCCAAAATGATCAATAAATAGATTGTGGGCCCTTAATATATAGAAGAATAAGAAGACTGATTTGATATCAATCAAAACAAAACAAAAGTTATGAGAATAAATGCAAATAGCACAGGAGCTTTAGCAATAAGAGAGAAAGCAATAGGAGAAGTAGATAATTTTACCTATCTAGGAAGTACAGTTAGTAAGGATGAGGTAGTGGAGGCAGATTTAACAACTTGAACACAGAAGGCAAGAGGATCTTTTGCCTTACTTAAAAATGTTTGGAACTCAAGTCAAATAAGAATAAAGACAAAAATTAAAATTTTAAACTCAAATGTTAAGTCTGTTCTGCTATGTGGCTCAGAAAGCTGGAAATAAACCAAGAAAGATAGAAAAGGACTGAAAACCTTTGTGAATAGTTGCCAGCATAAAATACTCAACATCAAGTTGTTCCACAAAATCCCAAACACAGTAATGAGGGAAATGACCGCTCAAATCCCAGTGGAGATGGATAGGTTATACCATGATAAAACCCATGCCAAGCATAACAAGACAAGCACTGGTATAAAACCCTCAAGGACCATTGGGAGGAGGAAGACACAAAAGCACACAGAGAAGAGATGTCAACAAAGAGTTAAATTTAATAAAGACTAAAAAGATTTTGAAAGAGTTAGAGAAGATAGCTAGAGGTCAAAAGGATTGGAAAGAAATTGTTAATGACCTATGCTCCATAGGAGTTAAAAAGGAAAAGAAGAAGATTGACCTGAAGCCATGTTTATGTTAGCTGAAAACTATAAAATATGGTGCAAATTTGATATATTTTTAAAGTTATGTATTAATTTTTTTTAAAAGTTGAAATGGATGTGTCACCGTTTTATTAAAAGTTAAAACCTTGCTGTTTAAAAATAATTATTCTTAAATAAAAAGTGTGAAATGACAAAATTAACTAAAGAAAATTCTCACTTGTCACACATTTTTAAAGCAAATATTTTGTTTCATATGATGTCTGTGATCAATAGGTGTCATCTGAAAGATCATGGTTTCCATTTTCTTTGACAGCTTCTTTCTTTACCTTCTTTGATTTATTATATTTTTTTGTACTAAAATGTGTTTGTATAAGTATAAATGCATTAGAGAGAATTTAAAAAAATAATTAATGTAAAGATAATCCAAAAGTTTTCTAAGATTTACTCTTTCCATGATTTTCGATGAGTCAAGACATTACTAGTTAAATAGAACTTTTCAAGCTTTATTTTTTAAATTTTTGTGTTCTAATTTTAGTTTTTAAATCTTTAGGCCCTATTTAATATTATTGTCTGCTTAGGTTTTATAATGCTACAGTAACTGTAACATATCGTGTGTTATGTTTTTCATGATACATAGATTTCATGTAAATGCATCCATTGGTGTTGTTAGTTTTACTGGCCTAGTAGACATAGTGCCAGACTTTAACTTCAGTTTTAATTTATATCAAAGTCTCCTAAATATTATAGTAGTTACATAATTAGCATTGTTATGAAGGGTTTGTAAAGTATCAATGAAATTTTGATGTGATGTGATATGTAAATGATTTCATTGAATACCAATGTCATGATGTTTAACTGTATTATAGTCCTAATAGACTTAATATATTTCTTCTGTTTTGGTTTATATGACATGTTATGTTATTATTTGTGTTTGTGATGTTATCTAGTAACCAACTTTTTTACTTAACTCCGCTCCAGACATATTTTTGTTATATCCAGCTCAGCTATGAATGCAGCAAAGTAATTGTAAAAAAATTTATGTTGAGTATATCCCTCCTTGTTCTATATGAGTAAACAGCATATAGTAAGATAAGATAAGATTCTTTACCAGACCTGTTTACTCTTACGATTTTGGCGTACAGTGTACGAATTTGAGGTGTATAAATTATATATAATGTATTATTATTTTTTTACTATTAAGATAATATATTGAATGATTTTTTGATGATATTGTACGATTTTAAGAGTTTGAGGGGAAACAGATCTGCTTTACTGATCCCAATAAATGGAAATGTTTTTTTTTTATTACATTGTACATTTAAAGCAACTTAAACTCAAGACATCTTAAGAATTTCTCTAGCGTAGAAATCAGCCATGATTGAAGACCTTTAGTGACAATAATGACTTAATTAAGATTTGGTAATCGCTGGGGGAGCACGTCCCTAAATTCGTAATTAAGTAAATATGTGTTTTAAAAAACAGGATTGCTGAAAAAAATAATTGATGTTTCAAAATCAGATTCAATCTTCCAAATTTTTCAAATATCTCACGATCCGAAAAAATTCTGATTCAGTCATTTGTATTGCATCTTTAATGGTGATGAAATTCCTTTCAGATTTGTCTTCTTCAAATAAATGATGTATCTGAAATTTAGGACATCCTCGTCTCACATTCAGTTTGTCTGAAATGCATTCATCTTCTTTCAGGTCAAGATATCAAATTTACTGATATTTCATATTTGTAAATAACGACACCAGCATTTTCAAGTGAGATTTCTGATTCATGAATTTGATCATTCTCACAGACTGCTAATTCCATCTTTGGCAGATTTTGTATCCTAAAGGCAACTTTCCTAATCATATGCTAATATTGAAAAGTCCTTAATTTTCTCAAATGATATTGTTTAATCATTAATGCACTAAATTCAGAGCTCTATCTCTGCCCCATGACACTGCTACACTGCAGTTTTTAGAATGTGTCTAATAAGATATCCCTGCTCCAAGTTCCAGCTGAAAAAAGCCCACCTCTTGATGGTTGGGATTTTTTTAATCTATGAATATTTTTATTTCCCAGATGCATTTTGTAGCAGTAACACTGCTTTTAACAAGCATTTCTGTTAAAGCATTTTATTTACCTGGTGTGGCACCTATTGAGTTCCAACCAGGCACTCTAGTTGAAGTAAAGGTAAGAAACAAAGAAAAGAACTTGACATTTCTGTCACACAGATTAAATCATGGATTAAATTATTTTTGCCTCCATTTTTGTTAGGATAATAGTTCCCCTTTCCTTGTCCAGCTTTAGTTTATAAAGGGACTGAATTTTTTGTGAGATGGGGTTTGATCAAAGCATATTCTCCAACATAAAGCTAATAAGCTAATTAAGGAATACTACGAAGGTACTAGAATCAAAATTTTAAATATATATAATTTAATATAAGGTATGATTTTTAGATATATGAATGTGTAGAGCAGGGGTGTCAAACTCAATTGCTTGGCGGGCCAAAACTCAAATCACAGGTAAGGTTGGGGGTTGAACAGGATAAACATTCAGTAATAATATAAATGAAAACAGAAAAAAGTTTTTATACCGTAGTTAAAAATCATTGGCATACCCATTTTCGCTCTTATGCCGATTGTGAGAGCTGAAAATTTGGCACATTTTCTTGGCTTCAAAAAAAAAGTAATTTCATTTATGTTGGGAGTAACGTTCTAGGTGTCATTGAGATTCTCATGATGGACTGCAAGTGTGATGTTTTGTTAATCTTCATTACAGAAAACAGCTTCTCACACATATATGTGCTCTCAAGGTTCAAGGCACATGTAGACAAAGCTGGGGCATCTCTTCAGGAATAAAACGAGTGAACTGTGCTGGCTCAACTGTGTCATATTTTGCATTTAGTGTCTCATTACACTGCAGCTCTATTAGCTCCATCTGCAAATTTACAGGTGCAGTTTCAACGTCTTTGACAAATGGGTTACGAAACAGCTCGAAATTACTATTCGGTCCTTCAAAGTCATTAAAGCGAATTCAGCGCGAATGAAGCTAAGTTTTTCAGCAAAGTATGCATTCGGAAACACCATAGCGTTGACTTGGATATAATTGTACGGCAGGCCGGGTGGGGCCTGCAAGCCTTGAGTTTGACACATGTGGTATAGAGGATAGACACCAGCTTCTCAATCATATTGTTTAATATAATCATTTTATTGTTTTTTTTAAATTTTATATCAGGCTGTAAAGTTGACAAGCATAAAAACTCAGCTGCCTTATGAGTACTATGCATTACCATTCTGCCAACCTCTTTCTGGTGTTGTTTATAAAGCTGAAAATTTAGGTTAGTATACATTCATGTAAAAGTATGAGAATTTCCATTTCTATGTACTTAACCCTTTTTTAAGCCTATAATTTTATTAGCTTTAGCATACACTTGCATCACTTATTAGTTAAAATACTGCTTCCAAAATATCTATTAGGCTGGTGAACCATCAACATCTAGTTGAAAAAGAACTATATGATTATAATAAATAAAATAAAACACGAATCCTTAATTTTTTTTTATTATGGGTGAAAATAATTTAGTTTACATACTTAATTTTAGCAGGTTAAAGAAAGAAAAAGCTGTATATTTGTCATGGTAAAAAAACATAATTTTTCTTGGTTTTGCATTTGTAAATATTCTGAAACATACCACTCTCAAATATTCTTGTCACATTTAAACTACCTTCCGTTATAATTTAAGTAAACAAGTTACAGTGCTCTATGTCCATGTGTTTTGAAAAAAAAATTAAATACATTTTATAGATTGATTATTATGAATAAACAAACAATTTTGGTTCATTTCTTTTTGCAAAAGTGACCCTATAACCTTTACGGCGGCGACCTTGATTAATATTATTCTAAACAATTTATTCAGTTCTTAAGATTTATTAGCTATTCATAGACTAGATTATGTTTAAAAACTAATTTTATAATTTTTTAAAAAATATAGACCTTAAAAATAATAACCGACATTTTGTTCAAATTAATATTTAAAAAAACATCAGTTAAATACTAAAAGGTGCACAATCTGATGACCTGATTTTTTTAAAACTTTTTTTTTAACAATTAGGTGAGGTCTTGAGAGGAGACCGTATTGTCAACACACCTTATGAGGTAAACATTATACATTGTATTATTTGTATGCTTCTGTTGTATTCTAACTATATTTTGCTCAAGATCTCTCATCTACATTATGATTGTTTCTTCAAAATTTCTGATAATATTTTTACATTATGTTTGTTTCTTCGAAATTTCTGATAATACTTCTACATTATGATTGTTTCTTCAAAATGTCTGATAATATTTCGACATTTTGGTTTCTTCCAACATTTTAGGTTAAAATGGCAACCAATGTCAAGTGTAAAGCCCTGTGTCAAGACCAAAGTAAAAAGTTTATTCCTGTGGTTTTAAACAAAGATCAGAGTAAAGACATGGCTGATAAAATATTGCATGATTATTATGTACATTTGTAAGTAATAATTAATTGGTAAATGAATGAATTAGAACTAGCACATATTATGCATAATCTTAATCTGCTGTGTGGAATTTTCTAAAATTAAATGGTATATTTTTTACTATAATTACTGATCTAGAGCAAATAATACTTTAAGCTTTTTAAAATATCAAGTTATTTGGGTTAATAGAAATTTAAAAAAATAAATGGCCCGGTATATTCCTTTGATGCCCTACATATTTCTTTATATAATGCCTATTAAATTCATTTGCAGCTACTGCTAGCTCCACTGTTGTAATTGTTATGTACCGTTATATGATTATGAAAATTAATGATAGAGTGCCCTAACACTTGATTCTTTGAGGACTGTTCATACATGTCTGGGTCAATGTGAAATGCTTTCAGCATGTCTTTAAAGCATTTCTTTGTCTCCCAGCAAACGGTTCCCTTCTCGAGCTCACCATAAAATGATCTTTTGGGCAAACGGTCTTCTGAGATTCTCGCAACATGCCATTAATAAAGTTTGTATGCTGGGGAGACCTTTTTGTGCAAGTACCTTAGTTTCTGGGATCTTTTCCTGCCATTTTATGTTGAGTTTTTTTATTTTGGAGTCTCATGGTGTGAAAGTGGTTTAGTTTCCATGCATGGAGTTGATAGACTGTCCATGTTTCACATGCATATGGTAGAGCTGTTTGGTACAGAACCTCAGTGGGTAAGACCAAAGTTTGTGCAGGCATCCAGAAAGTTTTCAACACTGTGTTGCATATTAGCTTATGATTCAGCATTAAGGCCACAGTCATCACCATATAGAAAGCCCCTGATGATGTCTGTCCGGACTTTACCATCAGTTCTGTATCAGATGCCGATTCCAGTGTCTCCATCACTGAAAGCATCCGACAGCATGGTGGAAAACATGATGTTGAAAAGTGTTGGTGCCAGGACACAACCTTGTTTAATACCATTAGACACATGGAATGGTTGAGACATCTCTCTATTTTCTAGGACCTTAGCCTGCAAACTATTGTGGAATTGCTGCACCATTGAAATGAACTTTTTGGGGCATCCATATTCGCCCATGATCTTCCAGAGACCTTCTCTGCTGACAGTGTTGAAAACCTTGGTTAGGTGTAAATAAGTGGAGAATAGGTCAACATTTTGTTCCTGAACTTTTCCAGCAGCTGTCTGGCAGCGAACACCATGTAGATAGTTTCACGCTCTTTGCGAAAACCACACTTTGCACTTAGGTTGCAAGAAAACACTGGGGAAAAAATATGATCATTTGAAATATTTTTCTTAGTTTTCTAAATACAAAAATTACATCTAATTCATTTGAATTATCCCCTCTAAAAATGGCGTAAAACCACAGAAGCATCCTTTAGAGCCAATGATCAGCTCTTATGACAGTTAGTGGGTTGAGATGTGCAGCTATGCTATTTATTTTCTGATTTGAATTAATATTTGCCTTTATCTCTTAGGATTGTTGATAATTTGCCCTGTGCAACACCTCTACAGATGCCAGATGGTCAAACTATTTATGAACATGGTTATAAACTGGGTGTTCTGTCAGGCAAAGAAGTGAGTTTAGTTTTTCTTTCATCCTGTTTATTTCAAGTTTCCATAAAAATGTCAGTGTTTAATAATTTAGTTATAAAAGGTGATTCTAGTTTCTTGATTTGCTTAGAAAACTGTTTTAATTTCTTGAAGGGATTTTTTGTTTTTTTTACATTAACTTCCATGTTTGATGTTAAGATTTGGCTATACAAAGGAAATTCATGGTTAATAATAGCTCAATGATCATTTAAATGAAAAATATAAATAGTGATTTAATTACTTTAAACATATAACAAAAAATGTTTTATTGTTTTTCCAGGCTTATGTACATAATCACCTGAATCTCATTCTCAGTTATCACAAACGTGAAGAGTAAGTTTTCTTTCTGAAATCAATGAATTAGAATGGGACAAATAACAATTTAGGAAAGGGAACAATGTATGGATTTTTTCTATATAATTATTGTTTGAGCTCTCTTGCTTTCTTGTTATTTAAAAAAAAAAAACAACTAAATTTTGATGCTATTTGAAATTTTGTATCTTTTACACAGGAATGCTCTTCGAGTTGTAGGATTTAAAGTTAAACCCCAAAGGTAAGGCCATCTCTAGGGTACATTTATATATTTTTTAAGAGTACTATATAATTTAAATAATCAATATTTTCTTTTAATTTCTATGAAACTGGTCGCTGGTATTAATTAATAAAAGCAATCAGAATTAGTTAAGAAATAAAATGTGTAAAAGGATATAATTTTTTTGTTGGTTAGTAAAAATTTTAGAATAAAACCTTTGTAACAAGAGTTAAAGCTTATGTTTCAAGTGTTGCGATGTTGTTTCAAAAAAAATAAAAATTGTCCTTTTCGCCTAGAAAGTTTCATTAATAATAATGCTTTAGTCTGCTGCATGATCTTGAAAGTTAAGAAAAATTGAAGTAGTATATAAACTTTTTAAGCTTTGCCAAAGGAGAAATCAAAGTCGATGAGAATAGTGGAGAGTGTGAAATTTCAGCATCCAAAAATCCTCAAAAGATTAATGATGATGGTATGGAAATTAAAAATATTTTTTCTACTTATGGTTTAAATTTAAAAAAAGTTGTATTCTGAATTGTTATACCAATAGTTAAGCAAGAAAGTTTTTGTTTTTAAATGTGAAGTCTCAGTAAGTTGTGCTTTGAATTAATGTTCTGACCGATAGAACATTTTAATGATATCATTGAGACAACTATTCCTAATTTATATCAGCTTCAACGGATGTATGGTTCACTTACTCTGTTGAATGGGAAGAGAGTGATGTTGGATGGGCCTCCAGATGGGATATCTACCTGGCTATGAGTGATGTGCAAATTCACTGGTTCTCTATCATCAACTCTGTTGTTGTAGTCTTTTTTCTCTCAGGTTAGAAAATGAAGCATTAATCTACATTTTTAAGTATAAATTTGAGAAGTCTTTATTGTAATCTCAGATAAATATACTTTAGTATTTTCTGACTTTGTTTCATTCAACATTTGACAAGCAATTTTTATGGCACAGTACAGTCAAAATATGTTATTTGAGATTACAAAAAATATATATTTAAATAAAATACAGGAAGCAATATCTTTTTTTAAAGAAGGATGAAATGCTTACCGGTACTTGAATATTAAAGTACCGGTAAAATTTAAAATTGATTAATCTAAAGAAAGAGATCTTTAAAATTGTGTATTTTTATTGACCAATGAAGTGCTCCACCTATTGTTGAAGTTTAAGCTATAATTTTATTTGGTCTGCATATTATCTTGTGTATATATTATATGTGCTTATCAGTAGAAATTTTTACTGTGGAGAATTTTAACTTCATCTGCAAACTTCAGTGTAAATTATTTTTTTTAAAGGTATTCTTACCATGATTATGGTGAGAACACTACGTAGAGATATTGCTCAATACAATAAAGATGATGACCTGGTAAGTGTATTGTAAAACTTTTCAATAGACAGAAAATAATAATGGGGAAAATATATGGATAAAAAGTAATTTATAAAATCACACTTCAGCATAATTATACTTTGTAATTTTTAATATAAATGAAGTAGAGCACTAACCAACAACTCGGCAGACCATTTGTTTCCATTAATGAAATAAACAGCATATTCATACATCCATTTCTTTATTGAGGTACTGGCATAGTATAATCCTTTGCATTGCAATACTTTTTCAAATGATGTACCATACAGTGGAACCTCTGTTAGAGATCTTAATCCGTTCTTAATCAAAACTTTTGCAAAACAGTTTTCCCCACTGAAATCAATGTAAATTCATTAGATCTGTTCCAGTCTTAGAAATTGGGTAATTTTACAATTTCAAGTGTTTATCCGTATTGAAAAATAATGAATGAATTTTCCGGAAATGCCACATGGCATTATCAGTCAAAATAATCTCTTTCTTTACTTCCACACTAACACAATTCCTATTAAAACTAGTGTTTTTTAAACACTGATCTGGTGTGATTGTGTGTACTGTGTACTGGCTTATGTTTGTAACCCAAAGTATCGTTTGTTAACCATGACAAAAATTGTTCATGAAATGGATCTTTAGTCATCAGAGGTTTCACTGTATATCCTTATGAAATGCTTTAAAACTATTTAAAGAAAATTTGATGAACTCGAAGCTTAAAGAAATCATATTGTAAACAAAATAAATAAGCTTATGTTATAATTTATTAGGATGAGACTGTTGAAGAGACAGGATGGAAACTAGTCCATGGAGATGTGTTCAGGCCACCTCGGTTTTCGAAACTTCTTACTTCTCTGATTGGAGCTGGCATTCAGATTTTTTTCATGGCACTTATTACTATTTGTAAGTTTTATATTTTTCCGTAACCCTATAACTGTCATAATGGACAATCATCCGGGGTTATGCCCCTTTCTGCGGTGTGATGATGGACAATTATATCCCCTACTAGCAAAATCGCCATTAAAAATGTGCTTTATTTAATGTACTTTGATTAAGGAATTGGTTTATAGAATTGAGTTTGCTTCCTAATTGTATTTCTATGTCTGTGTAAACTTGCTTTTATCAGGGCTTGTTTTGTGATTAATCAGGATTGAAGTTTGCTCAATCTTTTTGACTGCCATTATGTCTGATGCTGGAGAGGATTCCCTTCTAGATTGAAAATCAACATAGACTTTCTTTATTAGAATTATATCAAATGGATTAAAAGGAAAACAATGATTCGGAGATATTCCATGAGATAGTAATGACAGTATTAGTTCCAGCCTTGATGGCGACATGAGAGTCATCTATTGAAAATGTTAGCCCTAAGCTTAGTCGTATTGTTACAGACAAATTTGCTTGGGAAATGTAACACACCTACTCTGACATGGCGTGAGCTTATTTCTTATGCTGTGGGTTATGTCAGTAGTATGGTTACTTATGTTATGTTGATGTTTCAGGATGCCGACTAAGGCTTCTTCAATCTTCCACTTATAATCCGGGCACGCAAATAAGAATACTGAATCCTGGTTAAACTTACAGTACTTTATTGAACACACTTTATATTGATAATATTAATAAATAATCCTTGCATGAATGTAATTTCACATATATAAATAATCCGGGCACGCAAATAAGAATACTGAATCCTGGTTAAACTTACAGTACTTTATTGAACACACTTTATATTGATAATATTAATAAATAATCCTTGCATGAATGTAATTTCACATATATATATATATCCATAGTACTCCATCATTAATAAAGACACGTCCTCACACTAAACTGTCAACTGTCTAATCACACAGCTCTCACGCTACTGACTCTACTGCTCTGCGCTCAGCTCTCACTATCTCAGTCAACTCCTACTTTATTACCAGCAAAGCGTGGAAAACAACCGCTCTGACAAAAACATAATTTTACTCTCCAAAAACGTGGAGTTCACATTTGCATCTCAAAAATACATGGTCAACACAATTCACTGTTCACTCATGCTACCTCTCTGTTTTCATGTGAAATGTTTTCATGTGAAAACATAGTCCGTTACAGGAAAGAATGGAAATTGAACATAAAAGACAAAGATTGCATCCCAAAGACCTACCCTAAAAATATTTAAAGACGTTTATGTCTGTGTTAGTTTTGGAGTATTAATTAATTTAAAAATGGATTGATTAACTTCAATTGGAAAGGAATTTTTAAAACCTATTTTGTGTTTTCCCTCATATATTTTGTGTGACAGAAATTTGAAGGTAGTGAATGAAAAGTATGTACCTATAACTTTACATTTTCTGAAAGAATATTTCTTTTAGTATATAAAAAAAAATCTGATGTAATAATAGATAGATCAAAATAGTGAGATTGGGGTAGGTTGAATTCAGAAGTTGAGTAATACAATTTTACTCAGTGTTAAGGTCAATATCAACATAAATAATATAAAAACTAATTCTTTTTCATACCATTTGATTGCTTCTTATCCAATGTACTTTCAGAAAATATATATATATATGTAAGTGTCTCTAACGTCATTTTCTATGGGATTTTGTTATTTTTATACAAGTTACAAGCATATCGAAATACTGAAAATGGCTTGACACCACAGTACAAATGCACTTGACAGTTATAGGGTTAATTATAAAATTAAGTAAGCTAATACCAGTAAAAAATGTCTTTTTAGATTTAATTAAAATAGATTTTTAAAAATCATTTAAATTAATTACTTCTAAAAGATAAAATGTTACTTCCATTTCCATGCATAAATTATATTGGCTTTCTTAAATTCTGTTTTAAATTATCTGTTGAAACTGTAACTGGAATATATTTGGCTTGTTTAGTCTTCGCTATGTTGGGCATGTTGTCACCATCAGCTCGAGGTTCTCTGATGACTGTAGGGATATTCCTGTACATGTTTATGGGGTAAGTGAACAATAAATCATATACCAATCTTGAATATTGTTATTTCTATGGTCTGCATATTCTCAGCAGCTGTGCATGTGAAAGTCTATTCTTATTTTAAAGTAAATTAAAGTGTAGAAAATTTCTGTTACTAACATGGCATTTTAAAGAAAAATGAAAAAATATGTGTTCTTTTTATTTTAGTCTTTTTGCTGGGTATTTTTCTGCTCGACTCTATAAAACTATGAAGGGCTTACAATGGAAAAAAGCAGCATTCCAGGTTGGTATATTTTCATGATAGGGTTGAGAGGTTTGTGCAATACATGAACTGAACGTTTTATTTACTTAATTATGAAATTTTTTTTAATCATCTGCTGCAATATTTTAATTATACACCATTCAATATCTAAAATCTCATCTAATACATCATTTAGTAAATGATTTTTTTCTACAGACTGCAACAGTTTACCCTGCTATTATGTTTGGTATTGGTTTGTTACTTAACTTCTTTATCTGGGGAAAACATTCCTCTGGAGCTGTAAGTTTTTAAGAATTTTTTTTTTATCAGTTGAATAATAACCAGCAGTTTTACATTTTAAAAATTATAAGAAACTATTACAGTAAATTAATTTTGTGCGCATTTGGTTCCTTATAAATACCATGTGAGTAAAATCTTTTGTCTTACATTTTTTTTTAAAACATTGATTTTTTAGTTTTGAAGCAACAAATAAAGCTAATTTTCTATAAATGAATATGTATTTTATTTGTGTGTAAGGAAGGATGCCCAAGTTGCACACTCAGTGCATTATATAAAAATACACCCCATAAAGTAGTGGAATGGTGGAATGTGTATAGTTTTCTCAATTCTCTTAATACATTTCAAGGTTCCTTTTACCACCATGCTTGCCTTGTTGTGCATGTGGTTTGGCATCTCCTTACCGCTTGTCTTCATGGGCTTCTACTTTGGGTTTAGAAAACAGGTAAGTCCTCAGTCATGCATAGTTAATTCTTTTATTAAAGAATGATTTTATTTTTAAACATTATTTGTATATTTTCTTTTGAGAAGGCTGCAGAGAAAATAGGAAGAAAAGATATTTGCTAAAATGTTTATAATAAATACTAAATTTTTATTAGCGTAACTTAACTACTAATTTCCTTATAATTTTTCCTAGGCATATGAGCATCCGGTAAGAACCAACCAGATTCCGAGACAAGTTCCAGAACAAACTTGGTACATGAATCCCTTCCTTGGGTGAGTTAAAATCTTTATTTTAATATTCATTCAAAATAACTCCCAATTGTTAATAATGATTTTTTAACAAAAATATTGTAATTATTTAATCGTATCGGTAATTCTTGAAAAATATCTGCTTAAAAATCATGTTGATTTCAATGCTAAGGTCAAACCAAACTAAGTTTATCAACTTTTGTTGTAAATTAACATAAATGACACCATTGGTGTCTTGTAGGGATGTCACCATCAGAGGGGATGTGACCAAAATGTCTGCATTTTGTGCAGAATTTCATCTAATTTTCCCTGTATAATATATTAAATAATAATAAAGCATTTTTTGAGATCACCTCTAATGATTACATTAATCCTTGTATGGCATGCTCTTGAATCATCATTAGTAGGCTAGATTTATGTTACAAATCAGTGTTGGTGTCTTTTTTTTTGTTTTGTAAGTGTTGAACAGTAGTTCTTTTCTGTCATTTTGTGTGCAAATAGCATGTACATTGCTTTGCAGAGTGGAAAAACATATTGCTTTTCAAGCAGTATCTAGCCACCAGGAAAATTATCATATTTCAAAAAGTCAATGCAATTTAATTAAGTTCAATGCTATTAACAGTACTCAATCAACATTTTGTTTTCCATATTCTGGTTTCTAGGACGCTAATGGCAGGAATTTTACCATTTGGCGCTATGTTCATTGAGCTTTTCTTTATCTTCACTGTGAGTATTGTTTTTCAATTGTAGAACTTTAATGAAGCATCTTGTGTATTTATATTATTAATTAACATATATAGTCTTATTTCTATAGCTGATCCAACTGTTTATATAAATAACATAGGCATCCGATGGAGGTGAGGAGTCTTGACTATTACATTTATATGAAAAATTATGTTTATTTTGGAGCTCTTCATTAACAAGAGAATAATTTCTGTGTTTTTTTTGGTTTAAAATTTCAGGCCATATGGGAAAATCAGTACTACTATTTGTTTGGCTTCCTGTTTCTGGTTTTCATCATTTTGGTGGTGTCAGTGTCTCAGATAGCTGTTGTCATGGTCTACTTCCAGTTGTGTGGTGAAGTAAGTTCATAATAGTGAAGAAGCAGCTTAAGCATAAATCTCTTAAATCACGAGGATATGTCATTTCATTCCTTGGAGAAATCTTAGTTTCTATTGAGCTATATATTTAACTAAACTTGATTGCACATATAAATGATGTTTTTGTTTATTTAAAAAAAATTAAACATGTATACATTTATAAATTGATTACGATTCTGAACTAGATTGTAACATAGTAACTCCTTTTTTCTTGTATGGCAGGATTACCACTGGTGGTGGCGAACTTTTGTAGTGTCAGGTGGATCAGCTGTTTATGTATTTGCCTATTCTGTTTTCTATTTCATTACCAAGGTGAGTTTGTAGAGGATCATCTTAAAATTCTTGACAGAATTTAGTGTTATTATAGATTGTATTTTTAGGATACTTTCGGGGGAATTCCAACTTTTTCAACTTGAATTTCTCATGTAAAATTATGGCCATTTTTTTTCAACTGTCACATTTCTTTAGAGGATGTAATACTTTTGGGCCCATCTTTTAACATTGAAAAATCAAGCTTCTGTTTTAATGCCTATTTTAATTGAAGACTGTTTCTATAAGAAAACAGTCAGTGGATTTTTGTTTTTCAGAATATCAATGAATTTACATCAATATGCACTTTTCAAAACAATGTCTTTGCCAACTTTGAATTATTCAAATGTTTAGAGACTCATTTTTAACAATTTGCGACATTTATGACTATTTAAGTTATAAGTCTAGATCTAATTTTAAAAGTGGGCAATAGCACTGTTGCCCTGTGGAATCTGAGTTGTATAGTATAACTCCCTGAGTTTTATGTAACTTGAGTTGTATAGTATAACTTCCTGAATTGCATTCAAAACTTTGTGAAAGATAAAAACAAGCTATATAAATTACCAGAGTTGTTTGTAAACTTGGGATAAACCTTATTCCTCAATTGAGACGTGGGCATTAGCCAAAAAGCACATGATGTGTTCATACTTTGTGTGTAAAATCACATCTCTTTGTTATATGGTATCCATTGAATATATGGTATTCATCGAATAATATATGGTCTATGACATTTCAGATCAGGCTCAGTTGAGAGTGAAGTGTATTTATTTTTACCTTGATTTTTCTTTTCTTTTTTTTCAGTTGGAAATCACAGAGTTTATTCCAACACTGCTGTACTTTGGCTACACAATTTTGATAGTGTTCACTTTCTGGGTCTTCACTGGCACTATTGGATTCTTTGCGGCATACTGGTTCATTAGACGAATCTATGGAGCCATCAAGATTGATTAATGCTCATGAGGAATTAAATTGAAGAATAGCTGGTTGAGATAAATGGAAAAAATGCCATTGTAAGAAAGTTTGTACAGTCCTAATGTCCAGAATTTAAATGAGAATTAAAGGCTAAGAACAATTGATACACAATAGACTGGAGGTTCTGCTTGATGCTTGTATAGTGTTACATTATGTCTGATAAAAGGTACCTATTTTTAAAATGTGTAAGCTGGTTTATGCAGCTTTTAGCTCTGATTTGAAATGCACATAACACAGAATAAGTTTGAATTACATCATTCAATGACATTTGAAAGCTGTGTTGCAAACATAGATGAATGTTAATTTTTTTCTTGCGTTGATAGAAACACCTGGCTTCTCTATAACTTCAGTGTGTACATTAGAGCCTTTGAGAATAAAAGTGACTTTGAATGGAGAGCTCAGATTCTGTTGGGTTATTTAGAAAATATGTTTTTAATTAACATTGTTTTTTACTAATTTTTTAAACCTTTTTTTTTCTGTATAATTTAGCACTTTCTTTAAGCCTGTTTTTAAATAAAATGAATGTTAGGCAATATATTTCAATTTTACTATTGAATCCTTAGAGGTTATTAAATTAGTTTTATAACAGCTGGTGAGCATTTGTCTCATAAATTCTTAATTGTATTTCATTTTTGAACTGAATAACGCAATTGCTTGCAATACTTCATTTGTCTAAAATATATAATTAAAATCATAAATAATGCTACACAAATCTTGGCTTCCCAGAGGAGAAACTTAAAAAAGAAAATTCAAACTATTTTATAAAAAGAAATTTTGAGTGTCCCATTTTCTTTTTTCTCACTATCTGATATTTGTATTAATCGCAACCATGAGTGTATTATTATTTAAAAAGTACATTAACAATACTACAGATTTGGGTCATTGAATCTGTGATCGTTGAAATATTTGGTGGTGAATTGCGTTGGGAAATGTGTTTTTTCATTTCTTTATGTGAGATGTGTGAATAAGTTTGAACTAGAATTATGTATAAAACGAATCACATGGTTTTTTAAGATTTGAGCTCTAAGATTTATTATTTCTCCTTGGAGTTTTGGACCAAAGGAGGTTTATTTTTTTAAAAATGTGGGTTCTTATTTTTTTGTGTTACTGTTGAGCAGGCCTGCACACCATGAACATGCGACCCGTGGCCCGCCAGCACCCACTTTGCAGTCTGCAAAATAACAAAATATTTGAATTATTTTCTTTATAACTTTCCCCCTGTCCTATTTTTTTTGGCCTGCTCAAGTTTTTCATAAAGTATTACTGTATTACGGCCCGGCTTACATTTTGAGTTGTGCAGGCCTGCTGCTGAGAAATCTGAATGATGCTAAGGGATGAAACTTGTGATATGAGTGGCTTTGTTATGATTTACATTACATCAGTACATTACTATGTCATTTGATCTTTTATTTACTATCATTGAGTTACACTTAATCTGCCACTTCAGATCATCATCAATGTTTGCTTCTCAGTTCTGTTACACAAGGATGAAACTTGTAATAGAAACATGATTCATCACTTAAATGCACTGTTAAAACAATAATATTTCTATTACATTTTAAAAATAATTTATTTACCGGTAATTAAAAAATAAGGGTTGTAAGATATATGACGCCCAACAAACCCTTGACTAACAAATTCTATTTTAAGAAATGAATTATGATTAATGCTCAGAATCGACATTCGTGGCAACTAGAATATACCATACCAAGGCTAATCTTTTTGTGTTTCAATCTGTTTTGCAACATATCATTCTTCTATCAAAGTTTTGTAAATATTAATTTTACATTACTGATTACATCAGTTACCCTACTAACTGTTCTGTCATTAGTAAGTTGTAACTTGAGATGTACCATTAACATTAGTTTTAAAGCTAACTTAAACTTCAGACACTTTGTTGATATAAGAGTTTGAATTGATGGAAGTTTAACTTGTCTTTTCATCTCCCATGCTAAAAGAATGACGCCTACTCATTTTCAGTTCAAATAAATAAACATCTGTCTTTCTGTACCTAAAAGGATTTGATGCTTTTGTTTGTTTTAAATGTAGGAGGTAAGTTCCATATAATTTCATATTTATCTTCAAGTAAAGAAGCACATAGAAATATACTTGACCCTAAAAGTGTAGAAGAAAAACATTGAATTATTTGACAGAAAAAGAAAGAAATATTGTTTTCAATATAATTTGATGACCTGTCCAGTATGTTGTTTTGTATGTTAGAAGAGCATGGTTATTTGTGATATTTTTGTTTAAATGGGGTCACATTCCAGTGATTAAGTAAGCAACATCAATCCTTGAAAAACTGTTGGTATTAGTGTGTATAGTATAATCATGCCTTGTGGTGATATGATCCCTGATCATTATATTTTTTTTTGGTTGTACCATACTATTGTAACCTATTTATAGATATTTTTCTTCAGTTTTTTTAAAGGTTCCCATCCCTTTCATTGAGGATGTATTCAGCCCACTACTTTAAATCTTGTTACAATTTACAGGTGTAGTAAATGGCACCATTTATATTTTAACATCCAAAAAAAAAAAAAAAAAAGAGAAAGAACAAGTAGTTTTAGTATCACATGTTTGGTAATAAAATATTTATAGATATTTTTCTTCAGTTTTTTTAAAGGTTCCCATCCCTTTCATTGAGGATGTTTTCAGATTAATACTTTAAATCTTGTTACAATTTACAGATGTAGTAAATGGCACCATTTATATTTTAACATCAAAAAAAAAAAAAAAAAAAGAGAAAGAACAAGTAGTTTTAGTATCACATGTTTGGTAATAAATTATTTCTTTTTTAAAAATAATACAGGCCAACTATAACTAAAAACACTAGAGAATGATCTTATAAAGTTAATAACCTCATGTAATGAGTTCAAATATATGTTCAATCATAAAAGTATGTAAAGTGTTTATTATTACGTTACATTCATGTTAACATCTATTTTGTAACAGATTTAAGAATGAAGACTGAACATTTTACCTTTCACATTGGGCCAAGGTAAAATTATTGGGTCAGTCTTGGTTCATTTGATCTGTTTGGATCCATTATTTTTCCACATTTTCCTATTACCCTGCAGGTATCTGTAGTATGTTTATCATTTAATTCATGAACATTTTTATTAAGTGAGGTGTACTTTGTATGTTAAAAAAGTAAAAAAATCTAACGTTGGGAAATATCACTTTATCCTCCACCAATTTTGTTATTGGCACTTGGATTAACAAACGAAGAGCATTATAATTCTATGAAATTAGTTATCAATTTTATTTTGTGGCTAACCAATCTGTTTTTTTTTAGCTTAGTACAAGGGAATATTTGGGTTTTTTTGGGGGGAATATTTTTCATCCTTTTAATTAATTTGTTACATATGCACCATCACTTTAGTGTATGTAAATAATGTCTTATCACTATCTTTTTAAATTCATATTTGTTTTGATTCTGCTTTAGCATATATATATTTATATATATAAAACTTATATAGAACTTTGTTCTTTTGTGTAAACAATTTAAATTAATTACAAAGTAATGGGATTGACAAAAATAATTTGGTTAAAAAACATAATGTGGTTATTAAAATGCTTGTTAATTGTTCACTTTTGTTTATTTCATTGCTCTTTAAATTTGTGTCTACATTTCATACATTGACTCAGTTGGCTTCGGACTTAAGTTTTTTTAAATTTGACAATAGATAGGGTATAAACATTTTATTTATTAGATTCTGTGGGAATTGTAATTAACAGACATTGGGTTTCAACATAATTTAAACATGTAAATATAAAATATTGATGGATTTATGGTCAATTATTGATGATTTTTTTTTGTCCTGTTTTCAAAAGCACATCAAAAATACAACCACTTACATTTTTGTTAATGTGCATATTTAAGTGAGTTTTGTTGCAAAAATACAAAAAAATCTCTGTATGCTGACAAACACATATTGACCCAGGCATGGTTTACTTCCTTGCTTGCTGTCACCACAAGCAAAGATGTGGATTAATAAATTTTAAAACAGACTTTTTAAGTACTAGACTAAATGCTATCCAATCCTACATTTATTATTTTACAAGCTGAGTTTACTCTGATTCAGAAAATCTCTTTTTAAAAAAGTATTCAAAGTATGATGGAAATGTTGTTTCTTAATACTTAGGTATTATTAAAAGCCTAAGTATTCAACTGAATGGTATTTAATATCAATATTGAATTACAAAAAGCTGCATTTAATTACATTTATTCCCATTTTAAAAAAAAATATTTTAGCTGTTAATCTAGTGAGATTAATAATAAAAAAAGAGAATATGGAAATGTACTTACATTAAATTCATTAATAAAATGTTCATTCATATACCTTTAAAATAATATTTGATTCATTAAAGTATGTAACTATTGAAGATTACAGTATACTTTCTACATTTATGGTACTTATAAAATAGCAAAGCATCCTTAAAAATTTTGACATTCACTAAGCAAATACTCACTCACCCCAAAACAGATAAACATCATCAACAGTGTATTTTATGTTTTTATTTCACAAATCACATCAAACAAGAATCTTTGTCATATAGGGTCCTTCTAGTTCATAGCCAATTTTACGATAATAGTTTCTTGTTCCCACACCTGAAAATAAAATGGAATGATTCAGTAAATTAACGCATGTATGCCAAAGGATAAAGTCTTATTATGGAATTCCTGTTTAAAATTAGTCCTTTTAATGTCTAGCTTGACATAATTTAAAAATAAAAATGTATAGTATAAATTATTTCCAATACCTGATATGACAGCAATCTTTCTAGAACCATGCTCTTCCAGTGCTATCCTTTCTGCTTCTTCCATCAATAGCATACCAAAGCCCTAGTAGGACAAAAATAATTCCTTTGAGATGAGTCACATATTAAAGTTATCTATGAAAGTAACCTCAAAATTAACAAATTATGAGTAAACATCAAATTCAAATACCAAAAACAGCATTTTTAAAAAGGAGTGTAGTTCATTTGCAGGTTCTAAATTATTGTTGAAGAATAATGTCCAAATGTTAAACAGTGGTTAAACTATTCTATGCAAACACAGTAGTAGTAAATACAAAATCAGCCTTTCTTTTTAATAATATAGCTTCTAGACATTATTTATGATACTTTGAACAAGTTATAGCCCGCCAAATAATGGGGGCCGCAAAGCGTGAAGTTACCATCTACTAAAGTAACATGCATTCAGGTCACCTACTTATATAAGATCCCCACCTCCCACCACCACCCCAACGGACAACAGTCCCTGAACTAAGTATATTAATATTCTAATGTCACACCCCCTTTTACACCGCAGATTTATAAACCAACTCTTTCTATAAAATGAAAAGAAAATATTACCCACCAAATGATTGCTGTACCGGGATTTTTATTTAGTAAAATCAGCACCATCTGGTAGCATTAGTGACATTGTTACATAGATAATTATCTATTTTGATGTTACATTAAAAAAAAACTAATAAAAACTAATAAATCTGGTGTGAGCTGGAATTAATTGCTTTGGGGATTGATAAATTGAAAATAATTAATAGATTGGTCACGTGTAACTGAGAGATACAACTTTTTATGGGTACGGTATCAGGAGAATTTCAGAGATTCCTCTCTAGAAGAATTATTTTGCTAATTTTATAAAAGTATGACTGGAGAATTAATTTTCACAATTGAATTGTTTATAGGTACCGGTATCGGCAGAATTGCAGAGATCCAACAGAATCCTATATATAAATATAAAATTCTTTTACTAATTTTCGAACAGAGTAATGTTCATAGGATCAAAATCATGTACATATTCTAAACCCAAATGCTTCACTATTAAAGTTTCTGGCATTTGTCCCTGCTTCAGGACATTGATAATACTGAAGTGAACATCTTATTCTCATGCCACAATGAAAGCACTGTACTGACAATTAGATTGCATGATTATTGCAGACAGAATATTATTAGCAATGATATTTTTATCAGGAAAACTATCAAACTCTGATAAGATGAACCTCATGCCGGAAAATGAATCTCCTAACTCATTTAAATTACTATTATGGAAATCTAGCAACTGCACAAACCAACCTGATGTTGAAACTTCCTAGGATCTCTGGTATGGACAGGCACAACACTACCATAGACATGCAGCTCTCTGACTATTGAGCAGCCCCCTTTCAGCTCGGGCCTAAATGTGTCGGGTGAGCACTTTCGAAGTCTTAATAGCCCGATGAGTATATCCTGTTCAGGATCCTCATATGAAAGAAAAGTTTCCCAGCCTCCATTGGCAACATAGTCTCTCCGGATCAACTCAGCCTGTGTTGGAATTATGTCACAGAAGGATTATGATATTTCAAAATTAATCCATCAATAAATAAATAATCTCTATAACAAATATAGGTTAATTCTTAGCTTAGTCCTGAAAGCGGTTTATTAAAATAGCTTAGATAGTGTAAGCAACATATGAACATAAAAGATGGGACTGATCTCATCCTGCTTTTAAACTATGGTAAATGTTCAGATCCGCTGGCTCACAATCTCTACCCCTTGTGACATAGTACATTTAGGACTTAACAGAGGCAGCAACTTGTTAACCTTGACCCAAGGGAAACAAAAGGGCCATTTGGGGAAGCGTGCCTAGCCTATACTATAAAATTCAGAGCACGGGCGGTACCCACTCTCTTTTTCCTGTACTTTGTGTAGAGAGCCTGGCTAGCTGTATTTGGGCCGTGTTCGCCCTTAATTGGCTAAGTTTGTCCTCTTTTTTTTTTTTATGTGTGTTTAGATAAGTATAGATAAAATAATTCCTTGTGTTAAAAATGTTAGTTAGCTTTGTAATTATCTGATGTGATTCAAATGTTTTATTTATGTGTTGCATTCCTTCTATTAGCCAGTCTAGTGTCGTCCAGGAGAGTGCAGTCTAGTACAGTGAAGTCGCAGTAGTACATTACACTGTAGCTAAAGTCAGTCAGTTATAGTTTACAACAACGCTGGCATCCTAGTAAGGAGTTGAAGGGTAGATTGATCTTAAAGGAGATAATCTTGGACTCCCCCAAGTACTAAGACCGTTGGTATCAAGCCGGTAGACCTACTATGTCGCAGTACCACAGTGGCCGGATGGAGGGCAAACAGAATACTACTGCTGTGTGTGTGATTTGGGACCACTGGAACGGGAGCCTGGCCTGAGCACAAAATACACTTCAGTACAAGCCAGTCGTAATTTATTATATAGTAATTAGTTATATAAAGTAGACGTAGCAGTTATTTCGATTTTGTATATTATGTAATGTCATATTTCTGTCTAATTTGTATAATTTAGTTATAATTAAATAATATTCATGGGCTGAATCACCTGTGTTCATATAATTATTTAGAAAGTGGGTGGTCATATATATATTAATAGAAGTGTGCGAGTGAGTGAGTGCCATTGTATGTAAGTGTGAGTGTGGTGATATTCGATTAGCAAAGTAATATGTAAAGTAGTAAAAATACGAAACAGTTAAGTTTAAGTCAGTATATCCATGAAGAGTAAGATTTTATATGATGTTTCAAGTACATGACATGGATAAGGCTCTGACCCACCTGGTCTGGTTTAACTTTGTTGTGAATTTCCTGAATGCCCACCTCCCTTGTCCTTACATCTCTACAGTGTGTGCCCAAGTCATTCATCCTTGCCAAGGCAAGCTCACGCAAATTACCATGCTCTACACCACTAGACACCAGTGGCATAGGAATATCTCTGTCAAATGAGAATATGAGTTCAACATTACAGCTTGGAGTTAAATATCAATCTTGAAGAAAATAAAAAGTAACAATTGCCCACATATATACTGCAAGTGAGAGGTTGATCAAAACTGACCCAATTATCGCAGTACAAAATAGTAAATTTGTATTTCTATTGACCTTTGCACTCTGTAAACTCTTGTCCAGGGTGGAACAAGAGCTAAAATACGAGCAATGAGATCAACAAGCTGACTAGGTGGGTAACTCCTGTAGCGTCCAGTTTTCCACAGTTCATACAAACCTGTGGAAAGAAAAGTAATGATGAAATGTGGTATTTGTAATGTTTACAGAGGAAGTAGTACATGTTATGTGGCAACCATTTTTAAATATAGAAGTGCCTTGTACACGCACAAAATAAACACATTCAACTGACATAGATGTTTTAACTGACTATATTGTCACTAACTCTGAACGAACATGCATGATTTTTTTGTCTTCAAAAATGCATTTTTTTCTTTCAAATTTATTTAGATCTAGGGCTTTCCAATTTCCTGAAAAAATATTTTAAAAATTGCATGTGGAGAGTACATTTTAGGTCTCATGGTTTAACCAAATGTTTTAAGTTGTATTTAATGTTATCAGGTTTATAGTGTCTCATGTAAAATTTGGAAAACCTGACTACAAACAGGGTTTGAGCTTTAAAGCAACAATATGTTAATTTAATTGGACATAAATTAAAAATCATACATGTTTTAAAAGTTTTACCTGTGCCTCTAATAACCAGTGTTGGATAAATTTTGAGACCATCAGCTCGAAAAGCAGGATTTTCAAAAAACTCCTGTTAAAAAAAAAAAAAAAAAAAAATATATATATATATATATAGATATATATTATATCTATATATATATATGTATATATATATATATTATATATATATATATATTGTTATGTAGCACAATTTCCTGTGCGTGAACTTTCCTCGACCTCACAGGACACTCCTAGCAGACACTAACGTCTGTTGTGGGCGTGGCTAAATCTCTTTGAAGTATCTTGTTTACAATCGGCTTCCAATTACGCATTGGGTATAATGTCTCCGGGTACCTTCTGGAATGTACTCCTTAACCCGAGATATGTAAACAACACGTCATAAGCCCTTCTGGAAGCGTCTTACTCTACATGTATATAAAGGATTGACAGATACGAAGAGACAGAGATTTTCAGATACATTTTCTTAACATTACGAGGCGTGTTTTATTCTTTGTGTATTTGTGTGCTCATATGTGTTTATTTCGCATTATTTATTGGCACATTATTCTAACTGTGTTAACTGTGTACCGGTCCAAGATCTACCATACTGTAAGTTGAAGATTTGTAATTATATTTTTCTTTTCTTTTGTAATTAAGACATAATAAATCTTAATTAATTGAGACTAGAAACTGATTTGGGTCGTATCTTTAATATTGTTGAGTCTATGGTATCGTCCTTTGTTAGGCACTG